AGTGTGTTTATTTTGAAAGAGACTGTATGTAAATGTTAAAATTCCTGTGAAAACAGAAGTGTATTCTGAAAGAAGACAATGCATGTAACAGGCAGAACTTGACACGGCGTCCCAGAGCGTCAGCGACTCAACACACCCAGGGTACCTATCACGTCGTATCTGGATGTGGAAAGTCCATGACCAAACATCGACGAGGTTGTGACAAGGTTGGAGTGAGAATGTGTTGGCCTAGATCCCTCTGCTCAAGTTTGTCAGATAGTGTGTTTCGCATCATCCAGCAGATTTTCGCTGGCTTAAGGGCTTTCGCTGCTGAGGGCCATACTGTTTCCTATATTGTGCAGTCTTGCAGACTTTAAACTTCACTACAGGACATACCCACCGTACTTCAAGCCGACTAACCATATTGTTTTCTGTGACAAAACAGCCAAGCTCGCTCACATAACATGCCGATGAGCTGCTGGGTGATTGGTTGCATGACTATCAAGACTAGACAAGTCTAAAGGCCCCGAACATACTTGGACGTACTATTAGCGGAGCGGACTTTGCGAGGAATGTCCGCAGTCATTCAGGCATTCATAGTCGAGCACACTTCCACGTTGTAGTTTACTGTAAAAATGTCAGTGAAAAATCTCCGCGATGTGAAAAATACATGCCAAGCAGTCACTGGTGCGCGGAGCGGAGTCCGCGCGGTCGTAAAATCTGAGCTTTGCGCACACAGGGCTTGCGGATGTCCACTTTGAGTCCACGCGGACCTCCGCGGAGTCCGTTCCGCATACGTTCCGCCCAAGTATGTTCGGGCCTTAAGTCTCCAGGTTTTTATCATACCAGTTAAGGAATCATGACAGAAACGTGGCTGGCGGCCATCAAGAGAGCTCACGTTAAAACAGACAGGGGGACAGATTTAAAAAAGAAAACATACCTTATTATGTCACCTGTTTACTACGCTTTGCTTCCACTTTAGACAAACACACTTCCTCGTCTCTTGGGACAGAAATCAAGCTTTTCCACTAAGCGCTCTCTGGAGGCCTGAGAAAATTTGTTTGTGTTGACTGCAACATTTTTCCGTTGAATTTGTTTCCGGGCTTTGTGTGTTTTTTCTTTGCATAGTGTCAGTATTTGCAGCTTGTTTGCTATTGATGTATTTGTTTGGCTTCTGCAGCACGTTTCCGTTGTTGTATTTGTTTTGGATTTTCATATGTGTTTCTGAAGCTGCAGCACGTTTCTTCCAATCGTAATGTTTGCCCTTGTCAGCCACCGTACATCTGACCCATCCTTGAATTAAAAAAAGAAAAGATTAGCGCAGCATTAATATTTAACACACTCCACAGAGTTTGCTGCTGCCTGTTTGATAACCTGGGAGCCAGGACAGCAAAAGCTTGCCACAAATCTTAAACTCAAGTAGAAATGTCACTTGCCTTTGTTAAAATATTCACTTCTAGCTGCAATTCTGAGTCAAACCACCCCAAATACCGTCAAGCAAACCAACAAAAAAAACTGTATCATCTGTAGATTGTGTCACTGCTGTCGTGCTTGTCTTAATAATTGATGCCTGTTGTGCTTCTTTATTCAGACTTTAGATCATTCAAGAGTTATTTTTTTTCCCCACTTGTGCTCCAGTTGGCTGGCCTCCACAGAGCTTGAAGGAAAGTCACAACATTCGGATTGCCACTTATCACACTCAGGCACGCAAGAAATTAAACCTCCATAGCCTCAGGTGAATGCTCTGTTGGTCAGGGCACTTTGCATTTCAGAGTCATTACATTGCTCTTCTGCACTGCTTGTCTTCAGCTCGGGGGGGGGGGGGGAGGGGGGGGTTGTGTTTGTCCGTGCAACTGTGTGCATGAGCAACATTTCAGGTCCCGAGTAATTATCAGCGCTAGTCCAGTCCCCGGTGAAGCTATGAGATCAGACGTAAATATATGTAGCAGGATAAGCTGTTTACTCTAAGGCCACGATTTTTATTCCTCCCCGGATAAGTAGAGCAATCTTAGAAGTCAAGAGGATCAGTTTGTGTTCAGCCGCCTGATCTATCCTCACAGTCGGCGCACAGCGGAGAAAGCTCCTGGTCTTGGCACATACACAGAGCCGAGCGCCGTCTCCCCAGAAATCAGCTCACAGTCTTTATTCTCCTAATACATTATTGAAAGCTATTTTTGCAGCTGCACTCCAAGAACAAAGGTATTGCAGTTGTCACTTTCAACTTAACAGACAGAATGGGGAGGATATTTTGGGAATCTTTTTTTTTATGCTCTTTTTCCTCTCCCTGAAGTTCCCCAAGACTTGACTCCCCCTCAAGCAATTTTTGTCTTAGCATCTGCCAGTGTGATGAGTGTGTCGAAAGCCTTTTGTTTCCATGCTGTTCATAAAGGGGCCATCATGGGTGTGGAATACACCCATTACATACCGGGCCATATTGCACCAAAGCACGTGTAATTATGATACGATTTAAAGCAGACTTCAGTCATGAGTCTGATTTTTGATGATTCAGACTTAACGTTGTGCTGTTATATCTCCTTCCTGTGTGTTGCATGCAGCACTGGCGAACACATCAGTATGTTAAGTCCAAATTGCATGGCTGAATTATCACGCCTTCTCCCTCCGCTCTCAAACCACACCAGACTTCAAATGTCTTGCAGAGTTACTGAGATGTTACACTGTCACTGTGCAAGTCTGGATTTTAGGTTACAAATCCTCAGAGCCCAGCGGACCAGCCAAGCGAGACCCTGAGTCACCAACTGCAGTGTGTGAGTGTGTGTGTGTTTGTGTGTGTTTGTGCGAGGAGAGGAGGGAGTGAGACTGTAAGAGAAGGGAAAACTCAATTAATGTCAGCCTCGCACAACAAAGCAACATCCAGGGCCTCTCTACGCCAGGCATAAAATTAAAACATCTCCCCCTACACGATTTGTGTATTTTCGTCGGCAGTAAATAGATTCGGTCTGCGACTTGCGCCCGATGATTAATTACACAACAATTATTATGCCTGTCAGTTCACGGTGGGGTGAGGCCGAAGACGTCGGTAAATTTCTCCCCGAGCTAGAGGAGGTATAAGGGGCCTGTTAGAGTCGTCAGAAGATGAGCCCACAGAGATTTTTACCTGATAGATTTTACAGTACAGTATGTCCCAGCAACCTTGGGGTGCATTCCCAGGTGAACATAAATCATCACCGCCTTTCCTTTTAGACTGACCAGGCTGGTAGAACCAGTGGGGCTGCTTAGTGGCCAGCAGCACCAGTGGATGCACTCGGCAGCTTGTAAATGTCTAACACTTCCTCCACCTGCTTTTGTCCTCCCACACTGTTAACAGTAAAAACAAGTGTGTTCTCAGTGAACAGCGTAAATAAAGGTTGCATCACATGTAAACATAATGAAGCACCTTGATTTGTCAGGTACGCTATTTGCTGAATTAAAAAACAAACATTGCTCTTTAGTTATCTAAAATCTAAAAGCAGATTTTTCAGAAAATGCACTGACTGAGGATTTTTCCGTGTCGTCCTCTACACCTAGTGTCTTAACCAAGTACACTCAGACACTGAGGACTTGTTAGCAGCCAGGACACCCTGACCCAGACTCCTGCTGCTGCCTCATCGATGATCTCGATGATGATAATAAGCTGATTACAGTTACCTTTGAGGTCTGACTGTTCTTGAGTTTTTCAAGGAGAAATTGAACCCTGAACAAACCAGGTGACAGATTTGGTGAGAGGAGATGACGAGAATCACATAATTCAAACATAAACGTATAGTAATGGAGGAGGTCAGGTCAGCTGGTGACGACCTTTCAGTGGGTCAGAGCTGCGACTCCCATCCAGGGGTACTTCTGCACTTACTAGAGGGTACTTGTAGATATTGTGGTGTACCCAAACTAATTTGATAAATAAATAACAATTTGATGAGAAAATAAAAAGTTATATCCTCATATTGAGTCAACTGGAGCTTGAACACAATTACGAGTGGGTCAACAGTAGGGGTTGGAATCACCAGAGGATCCACGATATGATACAGCACGATACTTAAGTCACGATACAATATTATTGCGATTTCAAATATGTTGCGATATGCTGAGTATTGCGATAAAATATATTGTGGTTTATTTCCGGTTTTCAACTGCAAATAAGGTCCCCAAAGGAAAACATCTGTTTTATCTACTTAAGCCATTTTTTGCAGCAGCAAAATGTATCTAGTGGACTGAAAAAGCAATTGATTATATTATTCTAGTTGGCTAACTAAAGTTTAATTTGTATTTACAATAATAATTTATATTAAAAATAAATAGATACTTGGGCGGCACGGTGGTATGGTGGTTAGCACTGTTGCCTCACAGCAAGAGGGTTCCCAGTTCGATCCCGGGCGTGGGAGCCCTTCTGTGCAGAGTTTGCATGTTCTCCCCGTGTCAGCGTGGGTTCCCTCCGGGCACTCCGGCTTCTTCCCACAGTCCAAAGACATGCAGGTTAATTGATGACTCTAAATTGCCCATAGGTGTGAATGTGAGTGAATGGTTGTCTGTCTCTATGTGTCAGCCCTGTGATAGTCTGGCGACCTGTCCAGGGTGTACCCTGCCTCTCACCCAGTGTCAGCTGGGATAGGGTCCAGCCCCCCCGCGACCCTCAAGAGGATGAAGCAGTTAGAAGATGGATGAACAAATCGATACTTGGCACTGTGTGACGATACGATATTGCCACACAAAAATTTTAAGTCATATAAAGCGTTAACCACACTGTCACCGAAACAACCACCATGTCCTGCATTGATGACGCAGTCCTTGTCAAGTCGCATCAGGACGCATTAGCACGCATTAGCATTGACACTACAAAAGACAGGTGGTCAATGCATCCCAGAGGACCTTGGCAAGTGTATTTAATGATCGAATCACAATGTGTCTCAGTTGTCGTTTTCATTTGTATTTAGCACTGTCCACTTGTGATCGGACCAGTCAACATGCATGTTAACACCAGGTGTGAACAGGCTCTGAGAGCACCTAGGAAAATGATCTATAGACCAGGATCACGGTGTTTATTTACAACAAGTAAGGGAAGGTAATGTAAACTTAATTGTCCCCAAGGGGCAATTTGAGATACAGACAGTAGTCAACTTCAAGTAGAAAACACTCGAAACACAAAATAAAACAGCACTGAGCAGAGGTTGCCTCAATTGATTAGTTTTTAGCTGCCTAAAAAAGGTTTGATGTTTGATTGGTTAATACGTAAGGTACAGCAGAGCAAATATTCTTAAAGCATACACTTAAGCTGTTATTTTTAAACTATATATCACATGTATAATGTTACAGTTACGGCTGAAAGTGACAACAGATTCCACATATCTCTACCACTGAAATCAACTGCAGTTGCCTACCCACAAGTGATTGTTGTTGTTAGCACGACGTCATGGTGATTCGGTCCATATGGGTACACTTTCTGATTCAGAGCTGAGAACTCCACAACAGAATAAAGCTCATTTGGCTACAAAAAGGAAAACAAACACTGTGGGTCTTCATAATCAGGCTCCAGACTATACTTGATGACATCACATGTTCGAGACTATATTCTCTGGTTTCTGGTTTTGAGAGATGTTCACAAATATTGACTGAACTTTCCTAGACCATGGAAATAACATACTGGAATTCTTAATTTAAATGCTGTTACCCTTTATAGAGATGGTTGGGAGCCACTGGGTCAGAGTGAAACAGGGCCCGAGACAGGACAATCTCCACTTTTGACTCCCTGGACAAAAAAAATTAGCTCTAAACTGTCAAGGTGCCCTTGAGGGGGAAAAAAAAAATCCCAAACCCCCCACAGAGCCGGTCCATGACAGTGAGAACAGCACAACGACTGCCTCGACTGTGAGCATCTGTGTAGGTGATTAAAAAATTCAAAGCTTCAAAAAAGGTCACCGCCAGGACACGATCCAAAGAGGTGACCAGCTCCTAACTCCCATCCTCTTCACTGCTCCCCGAGTTTTGAATTTTCTAACGACATGTGTTATGTATTCCCAGATCCCTTCTGCAGCTGCTCCTGTGGTCGGGCAAGTGCTTTGGGCTTTGGTTTATGTAATGACTGCAAAGCAACACACACACATACACACACACACACACACACACATACAGTACGGCTCACTGAGTTGCTGCATGGCCAACATTGTGGCAAGCCGAAACAGAATCATTACAAACACTTTCACTTATTAAATTGGCCTGCTGCTGGATGCTAGACTTTATTTCATGGTGCGGTCTGAAGGAGAGTAGGCACGGCGTTTGAAGGCCCCATTCCTGTCGTTAGAAACATGCAAATATTTTTACAGATTAAATCAAACTATATCAACACTTTGTGAAAATCAAGATCAACAGCGCTGCATACACTGACTACGTGCAAAACACAACATACACAAGCTGACCACAGGTCAATTATGATCTTCTCACATTCAACCGCTTCCTGTCGACGCCATTACCCAGCAACCACCTGTCAGTGGTCTGCCCCACTTACTTCAACTTACACACATTATCTTGCTGAGAGCTCTGTGTTGATTATTCTGGCCTGACAAAAGACTTGACAGAGAGAATATCCCCCAGGCTGAGTGCTGTACACACACACACACACACACACTTGTGACCTTAAAGCCCCTCTGTGCAGCAGTCAAAGGTCATCTGAGGTCAGAGGGAGACTCTGCTCCCATTAAAATGTTTACAGAAACCACAACATGAACACTGACATTCAGGGCTACACTCAGTTTCTGCCAGAATTAGGTGGACATAGCCTCCAGATACTCGCTGCACAAACACAGGACAAGAGCTCCACACAGTGGGCAGTGTAGTTTGTGCCTCAGTAATGGCACAATTCAGTAACATGAAGGAACAAGGTTTAAATAAAAAAAAATATGGAGGTATGTGTGTCAGTGAACCTTGAGTTGAAAATATTTTATCACAAAAAAGAAATCTTGTCAAAATAAACTTCATGGTCTTTGCCAGAGTTTTTCAGTTTGTTTCTCCAACAGCATCCCTGCTCTGTTCTTGATTGTGAACAATGAAGACACATTTTAATTGTTTCTTTGAGTTCTTGTCTCTGGTTCACTCTCCACTGGTCACCTGTCCAGCTGAGTACTTGAGCGTTAGGTCTGTAAGAAGAAAGGCACATTAAGTTGTACTGTATATGTATGAAATGGAAATTAGACATCAGCTGTTTTGAGACTGGCTGATCGCCTACAGTGGTGCAGGGGAAATAAAACCCTATATAAGTATGCCAATTAAAGGGAAACCTGGACCCTATTTTACCATGTTTTTGTGTCTAAAGCTCTACTCACACGGGATTAGTATTACCTGGGGACCTCATGATTTAGAAATTACCCTAACATCTGTGTCTCATGGGGCACATTTGCACAGGACGAGTGAAATATGTATTTTAATTGAAATTACTGACGTTATACCCTGGACATGATGCAAACAGTCATTTGTAACTCCACCACACAGCACTACTAGAGGTGATGTCCAGCGTAAACCTCCTTTTTATCTTTTCAATGCAGGTTGAATTGATTGAAGTGAAATGAAGTGATTCTGCCACACACTGTCACACCTCATCCATCTCATCATCTTTTGAGCTTTTGATTGATTTGAGCTCGCCTTTTCTGCAAGAGGTCTCCGTGCTGTGCAGTGAGATGAGCCACCTGCACCCAGACTGCTGTCAAAACTTAATATAGCACCTAAATAAATCACTCTGGTTCTGGTACCAAATCACTCAAATGGCGATTCGCATCATATGGCCTCTGTGTTTGGAGAAATATGGTAGGTAATTTGAAGTGGAATTTTTACTTGACAAATTCCGAACATGGCACATTGACACAGGATTAATATCGCCAATGACCTTCACAACTGTTACAAAGTACCAGAGATCCCCAGGTAACAGTAGTCCCATGCAAACAGGGTTTAAGTTATCAGTGGAAACAACCATTGTTTAAACTGGTCCAGTATTGAGCGAGAGAGCTGCAGTGGCAAAAAGGCTGCAATGTAACCACTCGGGGCAATAGAGCACCGTCAATGTACGTCCACTACAAGTGCTTGTTTCTGCCACCAACAGGTTCAGATTGTTATTATAACTGCCTGACAAAGACATATAACTTTTTTCTTTACCTTTTGCTTGACTTGGTGTTTGTTGTTGTGTCTAACCAAGTCTCACTCAAGGAGAAGTCTCGTTCTGAAGTCTCGCAAGTTGAGTTGTTGCACAAAGTCAATAACAAACAGACCGGATCAAGCAAAAGGTAAAAATAAATGTTTTATTTCTGTGTAGGGTCCATTACACAATGTTGTCAGACACTTGCAATAACAATCTGAGCCTGTCAGTGGCAAAAAGAAGCACTTTTAGTGTATGTAAATTGATAGTGCACTATTGCCTCCAGTGGCTATATTGCAGCCTGTTACGCAGCTGCAGTGTGCAGCGCTCTTGCTCAATACTGGACTAATCTCAAATGTTGTTTCCATTAATCACACATCACCAACCACGGTGTTAATGTTTTCTCGTGAGGAATCACCGGTAAAATATATGCTCAGAAAACCCCAGTGCACATGAGAGACGTGGACTGTTCTTTTTTTCTTCTAACTTCAGAGTTTGTTTGCATCGTAAAATGCCAACTTCTGTCTAGAAATGCAAAGTCAAGTATCCTGCAAGAAGTTTGGCCTTAAAAAGTTTATTTTACACCTTATAAAATATGACTTGGTGGTAACTGTGAAAATGACTGTTACATCAAAGCTCCTACGTGTGGATCATTTATGTGGTGTATCAATCTTTAACTGTAGTCAGAATAAATAAAGATTATTGTAGGCCAGTGAGAGTAACTCCTGCCCAGTGTTGTGTCTAAAACTCTGCCTGGTAACACTGAGGACTGACATAACCTCTACACAGTAATGACAGTTAACTGTTACATTTAACAAAACCTTGACAAGTTGCTTTATGCATGTGTACACAAACTTACCTGGGCAAAGAATTTTCATCAGTGATGCCTTCACTTCCATGAGCTCTGGGTTCTCCTCAGAGTCTTTACTAGCGTGGAAGCTTGTGAAGTGCAGCACGGGCCACCAGTCTTTCCTCGCAGCCATTTTTCCAGAGACAACGTCCTTCCAGTCTTCTCTGGTTTAATACACAAATACACAGAAACACAGTCTTTAGCAACAGTTTATGACATATCAATTACAAAAAAACTGCAGTCTCAAAAAATAGAGCGTCCAAACCTTTAATACATACTGTGACTGTAGTTTTTGAATAATGGCCTTTAAACTCTTCCACACGTCCAGGTTGCTCCTCCAGCAGGCAAAGTCCAGCATCTCCAGAATGACTTCTAAAGCTTTCTGGGTGTCAGTTTTTTTCTCTGAAGGAAGAAAATTAATAATGGATATTGTGGAACAGGGAAATGATGTTCAGCTACAACAAAGGGAACACATTCTCATTTTAAAAAAGTCATGTCAAGGCATCTTTTCCAAAACCCTATAAAACTTTTTTAAAAGAACACGCCTCTTGATGTTTACGGTAAATGATCACAATTTATTTAATTCTGTGTATCATTAATTATCAGGTAATATTTGTAATTTAATTTAGGATCAACCCTGGTTTTACCTGACTGAAGCAGGAGAGAACTGTACTCCAACATCAACTCGTGGCTTGGGACTAACACATGGAGGGTCTACAGCACGAGGAAGTAAAGTTTTAACGATGCATTAGACACAGTTTGTTCTTGTGTGCTTGACTGTAAATCTAACAAGTTCTAGTTTAACAAAGTTAATGTCATAATTTGTCCAGAATTTCACAGGGATCATTATAATATGTTTGCATAAATACAGTACTTTTAAAATACAGTTATACCTTCAGTACTTTCATCAGTTTCTTCTCTGGAGTATCATGCCGCTTTAAGTACTGGTACAGATAGACATGTGCATTGGGATTGGGTGGAAAAGTGCTGTCATATGCGTAATCATTCAGGACTTTCAAAGCCTCCTCATGATCCTCATAGAACTCCAACATCTGCCAAAATAAAACAGGTTACACAAGAATTAAGGACATTTGACTTGACTTAGGCCTAAAACTGAACAGCAGCAAGCCTCACGGGAACAAGACAAAAACTATACTTCTTAAATCAAGAGCATGATACAGACTAGTGATATCAAAATGTATAATAGGTCTATTCAAGAGCAGCTGATTATAAATGTCTTTGTAGATTAATTCTGTTTTATCTAGTAATATCCCATCCATCAATTTTCAACCGCTTATTCAAAGCTGGGTCACGGGGGCAGCAGGCCGAACAAAGTAGACGTCCCTCTCCCTAGCAATGCTCTCCAGCTCCTCCTGGGGGACCCCAAGGCGTTCCCAGGCCAGATGAGATATATAATCCCTCCAGCATGTTCTGGGTCTGCCCCGGGGCCTCCTACCAGTGGGACATGCCCGGAACACCTCTAACAGGAAGAGCCCAGGAGGCATCCTGATCAGATGCCCGAACCACCTCAACTGACCCCTTTCGACACATAGGAGCAGCGGCTCTACTTCAAGCTCCCTGTAGATGTCCGAGCCCCTTACCCTATTTCTAAGGCTGAGCCCAGACACCCCACAGAGGAAACTAATTTTGGCCGCTTGTATCCGCAATCTCATTCTTTCGGTCACTACCCAGAGCTCATGACCATAAGTGAGGGTTGGGACGTAGATGGACCAGTAAATCAAAAGCTTGCGATATGAAAAATATATATTTCTTTCATTAATTCAGGCAGTTGGGAATGAGTTCTTACCTCGACGTAGCTCAGTATGAAGGGATCCCAGACGCCAGGATTTTTCAGAATCTCCTTTAGATTCACAGAGGCCTGTCTGAAGTAGTTGTGCGTGTCTTGGTTGTCACCAGAGTGGGAATACTCTGAAACAAAAGGATCAGTTTTCACAAACAATAAAGATATTTTTCAAACAATAAATCCTACTTTGTACACACAAATATGTTTCCTACAACTGAATCATCTCTTAAGCTTCTTTTCTACCAGAGCAGTTACGAGATCTGACCTGTAGGTGGCAGTGTGACATCACACAAGCTCGCAGTGTGCCTGTGCAATTGAGACAAGTAAATAATTGATGTTTTGGGTGAAAAGCTGTGTATCAGCTTACCAGTGCTGGAGTGTGTAAACTTTTTGTCACACCAGATGATGTAATCCAGTAAGCTCCTGTAGGCTTGGATCAGTTTAGTCCTCTGTAACTGAGCTGCCGACTCCTTCCCGTACCTCCAACTCTCTGCAGCAGACAGCTGACGTTTTGCATCCTCAATGTGACCATTGAGCAGCAGGTGGAACGCATGTTCCAGACAGATCTAGAGACACAAAGGAACAGGTCTTAAATATCTTTCAGTGATGTAAAACATGTGTGAGCAGTCAGGTCTATTAGCTAACATACCATCAGGTAATGTTTTACTCCTGAGTGTTTCATTCGTTCATAGATGTTGTTGTAGTCGTCCAGCTTTGAGTTGGGGTGATGGTGAAGGATCTCAGCGCTGATCCTCCAGATAAGCTGCAGTGGAAAGTGCAAAAAGAGGGTTAATGTCAAGTTTGTGAATTCCTATGTGCTGTGTTTTAGCAGATTTTTTGCGCAACTGATTATTTATTTATGAATATTCATTCATTTTCCATAACCACTTGTCCTGGTACAGTGTTGCAAGTGTGCTGGAGCCTATCAGCTGTCATTGGGCAAAAGGTGGAGTACACACTGGACAGGTTGCCAGACTGTCACAGGGCTGACACATAGAGACATCTTCACATTCACACCCACAGGCAATTAGAGTCACCAGTTAACCTAACCTGCATGTCTTTGGACTGTGGGAGGAAACCTGAGCACCTGGAGGAAACCTACACTGACACAGGGAGAACATGCAAACTCCACTCAGAGGGGTCAGATTCAAACCTGGAATCCTCTTGCTGTGCTAACCACTGCACCACTGTGCCACCCCTGTTTATGAATATACTCTCAAACTGTTTGCAATCTCTGCAAAAGCTTTTAGAAACTCCAGTCTGTTAATGCTGCATTGAATTATGTGTAATAATTTAAGCCCTTGGGCCTTGACACAAACACATACTAACGCAGACCTAACCAAACCCACCTCCTTACACGGCTGAGCTCTGCCATTGGTTGGGTCTTCCAACATTTGTGTGTAACATGCCATATATTCTGCTGCCTCCTGCCATCTGTGATGAAGCAGGGCTTCTCTCATCTGCTCCAGGCAGATTCTGGTACTCTCATGAAACCCAGTTTCACGAGGTGTCTCTTAAGATAAAAAAAACAAACAAACAAAGATTTTATTTGATATACAGTACAGGCCAAAAGTTTGGACACACCTTCTCATTCAATGCGTTTTCTTTATTTTCATGACTATTTACATTGTAGATTCTCACTGAAGGCATCAAAACTATGAATGAACACATGTGGAGTTATGTGCTTAACAAAAAAAGGTGAAATAACTGAAAACATGTTTTATATTCTAGTTTCTTCAAAATAGCCACCCTTTGCTCTGATTACTGCTTTGCACACTCTTGGCATTCTCTCGATGAGCTTCAAGAGGTAGTCACCTGAAATGGTTTCCACTTCACAGGTGTGCCTTATCAGGGTTAATTAGTGGAATTTCTTGCTTTATCAATGGGGTTGGGACCATCAGTTGTGTTGTGCAGAAGTCAGGTTAATACACAGCCGACAGCCCTATTGGACAACTGTTAAAATTCATATTATGGCAAGAACCAATCAGCTAACTAAAGAAAAACGAGTGGCCATCATTACTTTAAGAAATGAAGGTCAGTCAGTCCGGAAAATTGCAAAAACTTTAAATGTGTCCCCAAGTGGAGTCGCAAAAACCATCAAGTGCTACAACGAAACTGGCACACATGAGGACCGACCCAGGAAAGGAAGACCAAGAGTCACCTCTGAGGATAAGTTCATCCGAGTCACCGGCCTCAGAAATCGCAAGTTAACAGCAGCTCAGATCAGAGACCAGATGAATGCCACACAGAGTTCTAGCAGCAGACCCATCTCTAGAACAACTGTTAAGAGGAGACTGTGCCAATCAGGCCTTCATGGTCAAATAGCTGCTAGGAAACCACTGCTAAGGAGAGGCAACAAGCAGAAGAGATTTGTTTGGGCCAAGAAACACAAGGAATGGACATTAGACCAGTGGAAATCTGTGCTTTGGTCTGATGAGTCCAAATTTGAGATCTTTGGTTCCAACCGCCGTGTCTTTGTGAGACGCAGAAAAGGTGAACGGATGGATTCCACATGCCTGGTTCCCACTGTGAAGCATGGAGGAGGAGGTGTGATGGTGTGGGGGTGTTTTGCTGGTGACACTGTTGGGGATTTATTCAAAATTGAAGGCACACTGAACCAGCATGGCTACCACAGCATCCTGCAGCGACATGCCATCCCATCCGGTTTGCGTTTAGTTGGACGATCATTTATTTTTCAACAGGACAATGACCCCAAACACACCTCCAGGCTGTGTAAGGGCTATTCGACCAAGAAGGAGAGTGATGGAGTGCTGCGGCAGATGACCTGGCCTCCACAGTCACCGGACCTGAACCCAATCGAGATGGTTTGGGGTGAGCTGGACCGCAGAGTGAAGGCAAAGGGGCCAACAAGTGCTAAACACCTCCGGGAACTCCTTCAAGACTGTTGGAAAACCATTTCAGGTGACTACCTCTTGAAGCTCATCGAGAGAATGCCAAGAGTGTGCAAAGCAGTAATCAGAGCAAAGGGTGGCTATTTTGAAGAAACTAGAATATAAAACATGTTTTCAGTTATTTCACCTTTTTTTGTTAAGTACATAACTCCACATGTGTTCATTCATAGTTTTGATGCCTTCAGTGAGAATCTACAATGTAAATAGTCATGAAAATAAAGAAAATGCATTGAATGAGAAGGTGTGTCCAAACTTTTGGCCTGTACTGTAATCGTAAACATTATGAACTAGTACAAGTTCTATAGTTTAACCAATACTGGATTTTTGCAGCTGATACTAATATTGATATTTGAGAGTGTATAAAAATCTGCTGATACAGTGGGCAATTTTTTTAAAATCATAAACAAATAAACATTTTCTATACGGGTCCATAAGTTTGTTTTACTTAAGAATTGTGACTTAATTGCACAAAGTTGTACTGAGCAGGACATTTTTCAGTGTCTGTTAAAATGTATTTAATGGAGACATTGTTTTTGAATAACATCTAACTGGATACGGAATCTTAGGCATTTCTTTAATGGAGTTTTTTGTTAGTTGTGTATGGAGATGCATACTGTACAATTCACCTGCACACGTAGAAGTAACCAGAGGGAGCTTTGACTTTTTCCCTGACTTTGAAGAGTTGTCGTCTGAGGAATCGTTGTCATCTTCTAAGTCTTCAAAAGGCACTGACTCTATTTGTGTGTCATCCATAATCAGCACAGCGCTTAGACTCAGCTGCCTTTGATCACTGGCTCTGATGCTCCAGTTATGACTTCCACCTGCAGGGAGAAACATATTTGTGTTCAGCAGGTGATTTATTTACACAGCATTAAGATTATAAAGTTTCATAAGTGATTATTTTAACCATTGATTAATCTTCTGATTATTTTCTCAATTCACCAATTAATTGTTTGTCACATAAAACAGTGAAAAGTCCAAGTTGACGTCTTTAAATTGCAATTACAATTTACAATTTAAACCCCCAAAAAATTCAATTTACAGTAATGTAAGACAAGGAAACGCAGCCATTTGTTGTATTTAAGAAGCAGGAAGATGCATTGGCATTTATATGATTATGAAAATAGGTGCCAATCAATTTCCTGTAGATCAACTGTAAAGTTAATCAACTAATCTTAGTTCTGGAGCTAATTGCTATGTAATAAGAATGAAATAGTAGTGATAGAAAGGTAGTCATTACAGATTAACACATTAATAGACCAGTCCTATTAAGTTATTGTTTGATGACATTAGCAGGCTTCAGTCAGCTTTATTCTGCAGTTGTAAGACAATGTGTCATTGTAATTTGGGGCTTACTCTTAACTAAGTTAGCTTTCTAACATAGTTTAGAATAAATATCACTGTCAACAAAGCTCCATCTGTTATTATAAAATAACTATATCATGGTGATATTTCTCAAGTGAAAGGAGACAAGCTTATTATCTTGTAAAACAAAGTTAGCTCAGTTCCTACCTGCACTCTGGTGATAAACAACGTGCCGATGCTAAACTAGCAGCTAAGCTAACCTGCACCGGTGAGCAAACGTTCAACTACAACTTGTGGTACTTAACTAGTTAGAATTTAAATTTGCGTTGTTGTTGAAAAGTTTATGTTATGCGAGTATATTAACGGGACATCCACATGTACACTATTGCTATTCCCCCTCTGTGCTTTCAGTACAGTCGCTAAGGAAGTGAAAAGGGAAGGTGCGCGTTTATTGGCTGCTGTTACCGGAAGGGGCGGGGCAAATAGCTCCTTCTTCGCTTCTGGTTATTTCTGCTGTCACCCTAACCTGAGGTGAACTGATGTTTCAGCAATAGCTCTGATTTCAGACATTGGGCATTTGTTTACAGTTTTTTCTGCTGTCTTGTTTTGTTTTACATGTTTTTTTTCCAAAGTTTTGATCCATACTGATATTTTTCAATATTCAAAATGTAGTTTATGTGTATATAATGTCATTTATTTACCTTTCTGTGTGCTTGTGCTGTTTGTTTTGTTTTATATCTATCTGTCTATCTATAGATATATAATGGTGTGTGCAGACATTAAATAGATGATAATGACATGATATTTATTTTATCATTTTAAAAAACCCAAATTTGCAAATAGAGTTCATTGTGAGGAAGATATTGCACATATTGAGTTTTTCTTTTCCATATTAGGTCACAGTTTTGTCATGTTTTCCTATTTGCAATAAGCCTATTTACCACTCTTAAAATAACTTGTAAAAACTGCCTTGTTCTCTCCTTTATTCTTTTTTTCTGGCTATAGGGTTAAACTATATTTGGAGAGGGTTCTGGGGGAGATTAAATGCAGTGTTGGAGTATGGGTAAGTGCATTTATTCAAGTATTGTACATAAGTATTTTAAGTAAGTAATTTGAGGTATTTTTTACTTTCCTTGAGTATTTACCTTTTACTCCTACAGTTTTTTGATAACTTTAGTTACTAGTGACAGTACAAATTAAAATCGTTGCGCACGAACAATTTGAAAATATAGTGCAGCTTAAGGGGGGCGGCAGTAGCTCAGTCCATAGGGACTTGGGTTGGGAACCGGAGGGTCGCCGTTCAAGTCCCCGTCCGGACCAAAATATGGAGCGTGGACTGGTAGCTGGAGAGGTACCAGTTCACCTCCTGGGCACTGCTGAGGTGCCCCTGAGCAAGGCACCGAATCCCCCAACCGCTCGGAGCGCCCGTCATGGGCAGCCCACTCTGACATCTCTCCACTTAGTGCCAATTATGGCCCGCAGACCAATTTTAATCGGCCCTTGGCTTGACTTTCAAAATATACCATATGTGGCCTTTTACACAATAATGGTTAATCGAGCAAGATCACTTCACATTTTTACCCTTCACTTCACAATGATAGGACTATCATACAGTTTGTAGACAGGCATCACGTAGTAATAGTTCATTAAAAGATAAAAATGGTTGCATTTGTCTCACTTTATTTCTTATTTTTTTTAAACCCAAGAATCAGTTGGCCCCCCAAGTATTTTCACGTTGTTTTATCTGGCCCCCATTCAAAAAAGTTTGGACACCCCTGGCTTAAACCAATAGCTGATTGATTATAAACTGAATTGGCAACTATTTTAATAATTGCTTAAGCCATTTTTTCATGCAAATACTTTTCATGGGTCCAACCTTTCAAATGTGAGGACTTGCTGCTTTTCCTTTTAATTATTTGGTTTTATGAAGTTGACTTTTATTACTTAAATATAATTTTCTCCTTGTACTCACATACTTTTATTTCAGTAACATTTTCACTGCACGACTTTTTCTGTTGCAGATTATTTTACAGTGTGGTATTAGTGCTTTTAAGGATTTGAACACTTCCTCCACCACTGATGACATGGCATTACAGTGCACAACATTCCTTGTTTTCAATCTCTGAAAATCTTTGTGTGTATGTTTCAGATGTCCCTGCTGGTGTACAGGATGATTCCAGAAGAAACTGCACCTACTTATTAATGAGGCTGATATCCAGTGCAGTTTCTCCTTTTACCACTTGCACCTTCTTGAGGTTGTTTCCCACAGACACATGCAGCAGCCAGATCCAAATCTTATATCCTGTGTAAACCTATCCGTGCCTACACCCTGCCGGATCTGATCTGCTGACGTGTCGGCTCCTTCAGCTCCAGCAGCAGCAGCAGAGTCGAGCCAGTCAACAGAAACTGCCAGCATGGCAGCAAAACACTTTTACCGACAGGGCTTTTTATTACTTTTATTTAATTTTATTTCAACAGCAGCCTTGGAAAAAAGGTTCTCCGACTTTAAAAGATGCGCAGACGAGGAGTGCAGCAGTAAGTTTTTTCACAGGCTTGTTTTAACTCCTAGCTCATCAGGACTTGAAGGATGCAATCTTCCCACATCCCGATACCGCAGCTAGCCATAAACTGCGCCTTATCTCTAGACCTGTTGCCAGTCGATATTTGCGACCTGGATAACCTTCTGTAGCAGCTCTGATGCTGTGTAGCAGCAGAGCTCATTGAATACAGGGCATGTTAATGTTAACATGAGTTATAAGCTCGGGTATGTTATTCGTTGAGACGTAGCCCGTAGTGTTGGCCGGTTGCCTGGCAGCTCCGGCCTGCCTAGCTAGCTTGGTGGCTAACGTTAGCAGCTAACTAGCCACCGGCCGGCTTTGGGCAAAAGCGTTGTAATGTTCGTAACGTTCAAAAAACAGTGCTTAACACTAGCTAACAAAAGACAGCTAGCTTTATTGTTAAGCCACATTAGCTGTGGTTGTTACTTCTTTTCGTGTAGCTAATTTAATTCAACACAGACTAACGTTACTCCAGACTGCGTAGCTTAGCTATAACTATTTAAATTAAACGTTAGCTTAATTTGATATAATTTAAATGGACGTTACTGTTAGCACGTTCAGTTTGCAGTGCTAACTACATGTAAAGCAACACATGTTGAGCCTGGGGGGTAACGTTACAGCTGGCAGCTGCTGTTGTTGACTGAAAATAACACTTAACTGTTCACCACAAAAAAAGATTGGTGTAGGTGATAAGAAACTAGCTTTGAGTCGTAAAACAATAAAGACTAGACACATAAAACAAAAGGAAGCACAGGGAGATAAGTCACTTTGCTCCTCAGGTGTTTTAAATCAACACTTGAGACTTAAGACAGTGATGTTTTGGTTTTAATACCAACAGTGGTATGTCAGGGAGATAATGCAGATAGTTCATGTCATGTCATGTCCTGTAGTTATATCAGCTTAAGTCTCATTTTGTGTTGCATGCTTTATAAAAAATAAAAAAAGAGAAATTTTGTAGAGCTGAAACAAATAGTGGATTCTACTATAATTATACACATAAGATTATTATTGTCACATACATATACTATCACATGTTAATATATATAGTTATTGCTAAAATGTCATTGTAGCTATTGTCATCACTGTTTGCCCTGCATCTCTCTCCGTCTCCCTCTCTCCTTATGTATCATATTGTCATATGGATTACTGTAAATTTATTTTGTTGATCTGTTCTGTACACACGACATCTGTTGTATGTCTGCGGCCAAGAGGGATCCCTCCTCAGTTGATATTCCTGAGGTGTCTACCATTTTTTCCCCATTAAAGGGTTAGAGTTTTTCCTTATTGGATGTGAGAGTCCAAGGACAGAGGGATGTCGTATGCTGCCCTCTGAGGCAAATTGTGATTTCTGATAGTGGGCTTTATAAATTAAATTTAAAATGAATTGGATTGACGGAAAAGAACCAGGCAATATTTTTGATCAGTTGTGTAAATTTTAGGCAAAAAAGTCCAAATTTAATCAGTTCCAGCTTTTCAAATGTGAATATTTGCTGATTTTGTTAATCTTCTGTCACAGTTGTAACTAGCAGCTCTTGGTATTTTCTTACAATACATGGAGCAAATCCTTAACCGATTAATCTAGAATTTAATTCACAATGAAAATAGCCTAATCATTCATTGCAGGTATTAGTGTTTTGAAAAATATTGATTTATTGATACATATAGATTCTGAATATTTGAAACAGTGTCAGTACTCATTTTCTGCAATATTGATAACAGCGGTACCATCTGCACTTTCTCACTCTCGCTTATTGTTAATGTTTACCACAGTCATCCTGCTGTTCTCCACTACTATCCAAGAAAAGAAGTCATCATGGTCTAACCTTTTTACTTTTATCAGTTAATAAAGAATGTACATTTTATGGTCTCAGTTTTTTCAGCGGTATTGTTAGAAGTTCAAGTATTGTGACAACACTGTATGGTATGATAAGTGCGCCCAAAACAAAGATGTATATTTTCTGTTTGTCTGAATGCATCTTGAAAAGGTTGCTGCCTGATTGGCACTTTGCATTCTTGAAATAATAAGCTTAATGTACCTTTTTAAATCTATTCTAATGCTTCATATTTTGCTTTCACAGTGCTTTTGTGTCGGGGAAAAGCTATGAAAGATTTCTCAGGACCAGACTGTCGGTTCCTGTCCATCAAGAAATCAGAAACTGTCTATGTATACTACAAACTGTCAGGCAGAAGGAACGACATGTGGGCCGGAAGTGTATGTATACTCTGGTTAATATTTAATCAGAACTGGATAACGTAGGTTTTGCTGTGTAGTAAAAAACATGTTCTCTTCTTGAATTTGTCCGTAGGTTGGGAGTAACTTTGGCTATTTCCCAAATGAGGTCCTTGCAGTTAACCACCTTTATACTGACAAAGAAATTGAAGTTCCAGCAGAGGTATGAAGATATGTTGTTCATTTACTGAATTCATTAGCCAGGTCAAAATGCCACCTAGAATACAATGGAGCTTTCAAACCAGCATTACACACATTAATTCCCTTGCAAATATCCATGCATGTTTTGTAATTTGATACTTTCTTTTTGTCTTCTTTTCAGTCAACAGATTTCGTCTGTTTTGACACTGGATTTGATAAGTTTGATAATTACGACGTAGATTCACTGTTAGGCTCCTCACCTAAGGAGAATGATGGTGAAAATGAGGTAACACCTGACCAAATCCAAGTGGCAGAGAGTGTGCAGAAAGAAACACAGCCGCCAGCAGATGAGGCATCTAAAAATGAAACACAGATTGAGCATCATGATAGCTATGAGGATATTGATGAAGTCCCAGATGATGAAAGTGCCTCTTTCCTGGAACCTAACACAGTAACTGAATCACCTCCTACAGAAGTAGAAGAGCCTGATCCAGCAGCTACACCTGATGCTCCCAAAAGAGCAGCAGAAGAGACAGAAGCTGAGCAAGAGAGCACAGCAGAGTCTGTTTTTGAAAATCTTGTGCCAGAAACCAAAGATACACCCCTACCATCTGAAGTGGAATCTGTTCCCAAAGATGATTTAGTTCCTGAAAGCGAACCAGTCTCGATATTTGAAGGAATGCAAATCCCTGAGCTGAAAACTACCCTCGGAACAACTTTTGATGCTGTCACCACTGATGATGAAATCACCAAGAGTGTATCGCCATATGAAGAGGAGGAAAGCAAATATGAGGAGAATCGTCCCGAGGATGACATTGAAGTTGAAGTAGAAACTCCACTGTTGTCTTTCACTAAAGAATCCGTAAACACTCCAGCATCTGATCCCCTCAAAGAGCATGAAAGTCCTCCAACAGCTCATGATGACAAACCAGAGGCAGCAGAGGAGAAGGGCGTGTGGACGTCATTTGGAGATGCTGTTTTTTCAGTTGTCACCGGGGGAGAGAGGACAGACCAAGATTTGAGTTCAGAGGAAGACGATGACGATGACGACGACGACGTTGACGAAGATGAGGTAGTGGCAGCTGCTTCAGAAAACGCCCCGAGTTTTGAGGAAGCAAAGATAGCTGTAGAAGAAGTACCGCTATCGGTAGAATCACCAACAGAGCCAGAGAACGTAGAGCCAGAGAACATGGAGCCAGCATCGTTTGATCATAAAGATGAGAGTGACGGAGAAGTGATCGGACCTGCGGACACTTTGGAGGAAACTTTAAAACCAACCAATGAGCCAGTACACCATCAAAGAGAAGCAAGTACGATATCAGTGGATCCGGTGCCACAACATGATACTACTGCCGTTCCTGAGGCTCAAAACTTAGGTATTAAAACAACAGATGAACCAGTTGAGCACAAAAAGGAAGAGGAGGAGGCACCCAAAGATGTGGTGGTCAATAATAATGACAGTAGCATTACAATAGAACATAGTGAGGATTTGGTCCATGAATTGGACGAAAACAAAACGTTGCCAGATCAAGAATTAGCCAGCACCAAAACTGAAACACGTCAGGACCCATTCACTGAGGAGATGCTATCAAAGAATTCAGATATGAAAGATGATGAAAAGCCGATAGATGACAGCTTACCTGATCAGAAACATGACCATGTAATGACAGTCTCAGAGAGTGTTAACAGTCAACCACAATTATCTGTGAAGGAACCAGAGAGTCACGAAGAACATCCTACAGAGGAGTCGGAAGATGAAGAAGAGATAGAGATAGAGGAACCCAAAGGCGAGGAGAAAGAAGAATTACTTGAAGATGAAAACGCACTTTCTTTCTCACAATCAGATGACACCGACTCTGACAAACCCTCACCTGAAACAGCTCTGCCCACTGTGTCGACTCCAGAGCCAGAGTACAGCGACAGCGTGTTGAGACTGACTCTGCTTCGAGACCACTTCACAGAGGAGGAAATGATGCGAGTCCAAAAGCTTCTGGGTCTCAAGAATCTTTTCAAAATTGAGTCCATGTTCTTAGACTTGGACACCGAATTGCAGGCTACCCGTCGCACACACACAGGTACCACACAAGACATTGAAAGTGCACTCGAGAGCATCCTGGAAACCTCTGAGAACACCATCCTGGATGAGATTGAGAAGATGCTGGACAGCCAGGACACAAAAGACAACTATGACCAACTTACTGACACAAGTAGTGTGGATGAGGAGACTGAAATACTGGATGACTTCCAGGAGCTCGCATTCAGCCTACGACAGAAGTATTCAACAGCCAGTGACAGCACGCCTTTGGCTACTGGCACAGCATCAGATACTGACCAAGGTAGGCTTGATTTTTAAATATGACTATCTAGAATAGATACCAGTTGTATGATTCAGTCCCCTGTGATTTGTAGAGTCAGGTTTTACCATTGTATATTCTGTTTTAAGCTCTGATACAGGTCTTTCACACACACGTACAGTGTATTGCATCAGCTTATGATCTGCAGATAAAGGGAATGCAGAATGTGATAGAATGTGATATTTCCTCATTTACTTTGAAAGGATTTCAGTTCAACCTGACATCACACCTCAAGTGACCATATGTGATAGAATTTAACTTTACACTGCACAATACAGTGATTTGCAGCCACTGCTAAAAATACAACATACATATTTGTACTTGGCTGTACAGCTAGAGAAGATGATTGACACCTCACTTTATTTAACTTGAGAAATCTTGTTCCACTTGTTTGGCAAAATCAATTCAACTGTTCTGATCTTACACATTTTTTCAGGCTATTTGTACTCTGCTGTGTTGTATAACTGGTTGTTTAAATGGTTTGGCAGCTAATATGTAAAATGAGAAAAATGAGAGAGTGTGACCTGGATGCCCTCTAGAGCCAATACCAAGCACCGCCCACCTGTATGACAATTTCTCTCATTTTACAGCTAAACAGTACACTAAAATATGTGTCAGAGAACATTTGAGGCAATGCAGTAATAGAATCTTGATTCATATTTGATCAGCACTGCTTAGTTTGACAGTTTGGACGCATTTCACAAGCCATGATTCACAGCTGTGTTAGACTCTCCTAGGCTCTGATTGGTTGTTTTCCAACAGCCACCATAGATTCTAGCAAATGCCATTAGAAGCACTATGAGGACATCCACATAGATATAGTGAGAATTTCAGCAAGTATGACAAAAGTTTACTTCAAGGCATTTTGATCCACAACTACCTTCATCCTCTGTAATTCCCAAGATCTTTCTTTGTTTTACAGATGTCATGTAGTGTACAGCCCAATACAGATTTAAAAAAGTTAGACTTCAGTTGATGATTGTACCGGCTCTAACTCTGCAGACCTACATAAAAGAGAGCCACACTGACCTCCTACTAAGCAAATACCTTGCCCTTGGCAAAGCCATAGACCACACCTGCTGTCATTAGATCAAATAGATGAGATGGATACCAGAGTTGTGAGCAAGTACACACCTCACAGGAAAAAAATCCTACCTAGGAATACAGTCTGTTCTAACCAGCATATCTTAAGACAAACCTAGAAAATGACGCCCTGGAATAATCGCTAATGTCCTGATTGCTTTCAATGTTTTTGTCTTAGGTGAACATGAATTAAATGTTCAAGACGACACGCCCCACATTGCTGAAGAAGTCAAGGTTGACACCGTCCCAGAGGCTGAGAGAGAAGACAATCTCACAGTAACACATCCTGAGGAAAATCCACCTGAGACTAAAGAGGAGCAGATAGTTGCAGACGTGCACAGTCGACCAGACATCAATGTGGAGGAGGATGGCGGACATTTTAATAAAAACAAAGACAATCAGCCGAGCTTCAGCGCATCGGACGAGATACAGAAGGTCCCTCAAGCCACCCTGGAAAATCCCTTAGACATGGGCCTTGGTGTGGAGGTTGAGCACTCACCCTCAGGTTGGTAATCTAAAAACTTAACTTCACCATTCACCTTTTTATCTTTTTTTTTTTTTTTTTTTTTTTTTTTTTTTTTTTTTTTTTTTTTTTTTTTTTTTTTTTTTTTTTTTTTTTGGAGATTTTAAGATTACTTTTACTTTTTGCCTAGCCCTCAAGCTAAATCTGACATTTCTATTGAAAAATCTGTCATATTTGTGGCGTATCATAAAATATAAACCCGTTTTTAGCACTTTGGACTTCAGTTAGAATAAAACATGGCACAATTAAGTTCTATTCATTGGGTCAGCAAATCAGCCCACTGCACTGGGATTTTAGTCATAGATGAGTCTTGTTTAGTCCTTGATTCACCTGGTTTTGGGAGAACTGTTTGGCAATCACGATACTTCAGCTATTTTGAATGTGTGCAATGACAAACTGTAAGGAAGGTTTTTCATTTTTACACATATAACCTGACTAATAGGTACATTTTGTCTCACCAGGATCTTTGGACTCGATGGAATCAGTGTCTGAAATTCACGAGGAAGTGGGATTATTCTCAACAGGGATTGTTTACACGGGCTGCATCCTTTCGATGGTGAAGAGTAAAATTTCACAGTGGACTATTGAGGTAAATCTAAAAATTTTAAGCTACTGCGACACTGGCTTGGGGATTCAGTTTTTAAACATTGACTCTCTTTTGACACAGTCACATGAGTGAAAACATGCAAGTGACCATTGCCTGCTGAGGCAATCCTGTTTGTGACACAGGACCTCTTGCCTGTTTATGGTCAGGTCTGTGCATCGTCTAACTGTGCGTTCACACCAAACGCGATGAACGCCACAAGTTTCCATTCAAAATCAATGTAAATCACGCAATGTAGCTTGGGCGACGCGTTTCAGGTGATAAGAGCGACGCGATGACGCACAAATACGGGCCAACAGGTCCTCAAACTGGGCCAGCGTCAGCCTGAAGTACCGCTGGAAACGACCGTCATCCAGACGCAGCTCTTGCAGGAGGTGATGATATTCACCCAGCTGTGTGCGTTTCTGGAGGATATTGTGAACCCAGACACGGCGGCGTTTGGGTCTCCAATCCAAATCAGATGTCCACAACAGATAAAGAGCAGCTATGGTAGTTAACTCAGCCATGGTTGACGAGAAAATAGCGGGAGGTGAAGAAAATTGCGGTAGGAGAGTTGCGTCATTGTGATTGAAGCGATGAAGCGATGATCAAAAAGATGACATTTGTGATCAAGCGACGCGATACTCGCATTACGGGCGATGACATCGCGTCCATCACGTTTGGTGTGAACACACAGATAGATTCGTTGCACAAACCAACTTGCCAACAGTTTTAAGGCTGGTGTAGACACATGCCCAAAAAGAGCCCACATTTCTGGTCAGAATAAGAAACACACCTATTTTTAAACATTATGAAAGACTTGGATGTTGGATATGTGCAAATATCTTAACATCGACTTTTTAGTGAAGGTGGCTGAAAGAAGGGACGAGGGAGGCCGTGTTCATATGGTCCAACATGTCCACTACCGTTGGGAAAGTTTGCAGAAATACTATATTGATGCAATGAAGCAAAATGACAATTGGCTCCAGTTGTTCCACTTCTCTGTGTTTTGTTTTAATAAACTACCTGATAGGTCATGTTAAAGGATAACTTAGGTAGGTTTCAACCTGGGCCCTACTTCCCCATGTGTATGTGTGCGTATGATTCATAGGTACAACTCATTCTAAAATTGGTTCAGTATTGAGGGAGCCGGATGCAGCCGGGAGCCGCGAAACGAGCTAAAACGGTAATGAGGGCAAATGCGTCCCGTATAAGTTTGCGCATTAAAAGTGCTTTTTTTCGCCACTGACCAGTTCAGATCGCCAGTGTTATCTCTGTAAATAGCATACTAAGCGTTTCCCTCACCTCTGGGCTGTGTGACGTCATCTCGCGAGAGCTTTGCTCCACTGTGTCTGTAGCTGTCTCTACTCGTGGGACAGCCATTTTCTTGAGGAAGAGGTGTTTCGGGATTGGATGTCTTCTCGTCTTCGGCTGGCAGTAGTCATCTTGGGAGAAGTGAGCACTGCAGTCCCGATGGTCTGCAAGGCGCAGTGTCTGGACAGGAGTGTTAGCATCCATTTGTAGCACAACTAGCCAAAACTTCAGCATCTCGCCATCCGACAAAGGCAGCCTATGAAAGCTGTATGGGGTGTTGCGCGACATCCTGTTCTTACAATTCGGATAAGCACAAACACGAACCATTGTTTTCACTCGATGCAGTAAAACTCTCAACTGTACTCCAGGACAACCAGCACAAAGCTCTCGCGAGATGACGTCACAGCCCAGAGCAAGTGAAGGGTAAGGGAAACGCTTAGTATGCTATTTACAGAGATAACACTGGCGATCTGAACCGGTCAGTGGCGAAAAAAAGCACTTTTAATGTGCAAACATATACGGGACGCATTTGCCCCCATTACCGTTTTAGCTCGTTTTGCGGCTCCCGGTTGCATCCGGCTCCCTCAATACTGAACCAATTTTAGAACGAGTTGTACCCATGAATCATACGCACACATACACATGGGGAAGTAGGGCCCAGGTTGAAAAATACCGAAGTTATCCTTTAATCTCAGTATACAGGGCTGCATGTAAACGGCAATATTAATCAAATAATATTTTTTATCAGCCATGTGGACATCTTAGTTTGAATATTGTCTTTTTTGGAATAAGGGCAAGAACCAGAATATTTTGTGCATGTGAACGTGGTCAATGTCTCCTCCACACGTACTTGTTTACTATAGGTTGAGACTGCGACTTCATCACTCAAAGCTCACCAACTTTGACCTTTTGAAATTTGCTTTGCCACTGCAAGCAAATGTTTTATTTGCTCCTCTGCTCACATATAATGGAAGTGAATGGGAAGCAAATATTCACTTATGTTGTTCTTGCTCATGTGTGACTGTACCATCAATCTGAGACTTCATCTCCTAAACCAGGGACCAGTACCAAGGCACAAAACATTTGCTACAAAGCCATGGAGAAAGAGTATGATTGGTAAAAATAATCAGAAATCATAAGGTTGTGAGTTATACCCTGTAGACGCTGTGGAGTGCCCCAGGAATGAGTCCTAAAACCTGAATATGAATTAGTATTTTTGCACTCCTGGTTCCCTCATCTTGAAGTCAATGTTTTTTTTAATGGGATCTTGGTTATGTGCCTGAAATAAGGTCTGTGGTTAACACAAGCTTGAAAGACTTTCATGTTTTGTTCTACAACATAAAATATGTCAGTGAATACCCCACTCAGGAACTTTGAAGCTTCTATGTGTCTTTGAAAAGGTGGTTGCTAACAAGTGGCTAAACGAGACTACAGAACGTCATCACACCGAGCCATGCCAAACACGGCCTTGCAGTCCTGTTATGGTGGTGACGTTGGGTCATGTGACTGTAGTCTAATTAGTTTATAGCCTAACATTAGCTTTTTGCATTCAGGCTTTGATAATCACAAAAGCGGTGTTCATTTATGGAGGTTATCTAGCTGAACAAAATGTATAAGTGTCAAAAATGTTTGTTTGCCAGTGTTTATTTTCTGCAGTAGTCCAAAATCCAATGGAAAAATTGGCATAGGCTTTTTGATGAGGGAACCAGTGTGATGCTAACTTCCACGTCAGCCTACAGAAAAGCATCATCCCTGGGGCACTCTATTTGTGCAGTAATTACTTTGTCTGTAGTTATTTAAGGTGAATTTATCTGTGCTGTCTTCGTAATAGGTCTGTAAGAATATTGGCACTGTGAAAACAGTTCTTATTCATTTTAAAAATGGCTGTAGATCCATGAACTATATATCCCAGTATGCCCCCTCAGAGGTTTACACACACACACATTACATAGTTGTTCATCATGTAGTGGTATTATGACGATTATAAAAAAAAAAGTTCTGATGTGGTTTGATGATTCCAATTTTGCAAATATTCAGAAATAACCCACAAACACAATCAATGAAACAAAACATGAACCACAAGTTTCACTCAGCTGGCCTCTGGCATGCCTCTGCAACAATCAACTTTGAATGTAACACATATCTGTCCTGTTCCTGTTAAAGTATTCTTATCTGCATGATCAAATTCCCACAAAAGAAAGCACGCAGTTCAGTTTAAGTATGTCAGTGCTGACAGGATGAACAGTAGAACCACTGTATCATAAAAAACTCAATTTTCCGATTGCTCGTGAACGCCCCACGGCCCTCCCCTCTGTCTTGTTGACGACGCGGTGTAGGCTGAAGTTCAACACAGCCGGTGTTGAGCTGGCTATTAGCACAACTGGAGGGCCTTATTTTGGCAAATAATTGTTACAAAAGACAGCACTGAGATGGACTGTATGCTGTCGAATTAATTTAGCTCATTTATCGCTTTTTGTACTTTTATTTTAATCCGTATTTGAACCTCCAGCTCAGCTCCGCTAACGTCTCCTCCTCGTCGGTTGATTATTGATAGTGAATGGGATACGACGACTCATCTGTTATTACCGTTAGCCAACTGTTGTTGCCAAGTCCGACCTATCACCTGACTTCACCGACAAACTACCGTCGTGGGTGTTTGTAGCGACGTTTTATTTTAAGACACCGTATTGTCTAACGTTAACGGCTAACGTTAGCTAAACAGTACGGGTTAATTTAATATCAGCTAACGTGCTAGCAAGCTAACACCTGTCAAACTAGCATAGCGATTACTTGTGCTAGTTCCGTTTTTGTGTCAAAGACTAGCATGGAGGGTGATACGTTACCCAAACCCGTAATGGAGCCGGAACATGTTAACGTGTTCTTTCAAAAGGAGCTTCACCATGTAAGTGAACTATTACAGTTCAGTCTGTTTGTTGTGTCAAGTATTGATCATGCTATCCTGGCCTGCTGACGTGTTAATGAGCATATGGCTGATGCACAGTGACTTAACGTTAACTGCTCCTAAATGTACTCACCAAACTTGATGCAGCTGATCTTGCCTTATTGATGTTGACAGAAGATCTTAAACTTCCACTTGGTTCTTTCACATCTTATTTTCACTGCAGATTAGAGTATAAATGCCCTGACAGGTATGGTTGCAGCCCTGCCTGTGTGCATTACTACATTTAAAAAGTAGAGATATGAAATGCAGTTGGCTGAACAGAGCATATTAATCCATCCAGGCAATGTGGTGTCTTAATTTTGATTCCCTGCATTTCATTACAGCCATAGAGTGTTTGCTTGTTCCTGTCTAAACTACCATATGCTCAGTTCAAAGGTTCCTTTGTGATTGGAGCAATATGCCGAGTTCTTCTTGGTATGACTCGGCAGTAATGAAAACCAGAGTCATGGTCAATTTTAGTTACTGATACAATTTATAAATACGTCAGCCTTTAGGCAGCAAGCAACCTTTGTATGATGATTCATTTAACGGTAAAATAAACCATATCTGGCTTGTAGTCGTAAAATGTCAGTGACTGAATTTGGAAGTAGTTTGTGAATGCAGAAATTAATTTCCTGCCCTACCCTTCGTAATACTCTCGACATTACCTTCAAGATTGCAACACTAAGCGCCCCTTATTGTGCAAAAAATACATGTTCCACACAGGATTAAAGCTGTTTGTAGATGGTTTTAGAGGCAGGAAACTTTTAAAAAGAGTTTAGTTATGCAACCTTACGCCTGTTTTCCTCTGGTGCAGAGTTCAGCAGTCTTTGCTGTGGCAGAAGGACCCTGCTAGGTTTTATTATTGTATGGGAAAGCTCTGATATCTTGATAAGCTTCTCAGTGGTGTGAAAGAGCAACAGATCACTCATTCTCCTTCAGTGCTCATCACTTCAGTTAATGAATACACAGTATCTCAGTCGAGGAGTTTGGGTAAATATTGCTTTGAGGGATAACCTTCTGTAGACTTGTCGGAGTGTCTTGCTGTGCTTTGACAAATACTTACTTGCCATCTGTCTCTATTTTTAGTCTTGTCATATTAATCACATTTGAAACACAGTAAGAAGGGTGACAAGATTTTTTCCCTCCCTCATTTATTGAGACGTAGGCCTCCTGTCTTTATCTTTATGTCATCATTCCTAATTGTCTTCGCGATCATTCCTCGATATTGTTTCTGTGTGCCATCAGGTGATTTCATTACTGCCAGAGGAGTGGAAGCCAGGGGAAACCTTGTTAGGTTGTCCTTGGCAAGCTGTTGTCATCACTGCTTTGGTTGGAGTAGTGACCTTCATCCTCTTCTTCTGGAGGACAGTGTTGGCGGTAAGTGTTGTAACATTGCTGCTCTCATCTCTGCTAAAATTATGTGTTATGATTTGCCAGTAACAAGAAAAATAACTGCAGGAGCTTCGGTTTAATTAGGTTTTGACCCTGATGATACACGCTGCATACAAATGACTTGTATTGTCATCTTTAAAGGTATACTATGCAAGATTGGTTACTGTTTACAGACATGCTTGTCCGGGAAAGTAAAAGTCAATGCCTGCTGCTTAAGTTCTGGCATCTGGTTGCTACCTTTGTATAAAGCCCCGACTCCACCAGCGTGTGTCGGAGGTACACACCCATAAACATCCTGAACACAGAAAGCAAAAACAAAATGAGACAATAAAGGCTTAGGGCAGAGTCTCTGCCGCAAAACACACTGCCTCACACTTCTAGTGGGTCATACATGTTGATTTAGGGGGATTACTTCTGTTTAAGTCCATACATTGTTTTTTAGGAAAATCCTGCATAGTATATCCTACACTACCCATGGTTTGAGATTAACATCATATAATATTTTTCTTATCTGGAGCACTACTTATACACTATTTCTGACAAGATGAGACTTCATTACTACATGTTAATGATGATAGTGCTGTGACAAGACATCAAACTGATCTTTACTTCTTGCTTTCCTGAGTATTTTAGGTAAAGAAGAAAGAATATCTTGGTAAGTTTGTGTGCTTGTTTGTTTTTGTAACATCACATCACAATATGCAGAAGTGTTTAATCAAACTGATTATGTTCTTTTTGCTTGTGGACACAGTGGATGAAAAAAAATTAACAGAGCAAATTCTGGCACTCAAGAAAGAGAGGACTGATGCTCTCGCCAAAATGTCTGAACTCCAGAAACAGGTGGGTTACAAATGTGATCGAATATCTATGAGCTACATTTGAAGAAGCTTAATCATTATCTGAAATGTTCTCATTTGTTTTTTCTTCTTTTTTTGAAGACTGAACGTCTGAAAGAAAACCAAAAACAGTCAAAGGAAACAGTTAGTACGACAATGAAAAAGGTTCAAGACCTGGAGGTAAGCACCAAGAAACCAAGGATACTTTTCATCTTTGTGTATTTCCTCATACTATGTTGAGCTGTCAAGAACGGGGAAGTGTACTTGATGCACCTGTAAATGGCTTATGGGTGTTGCATATGATTTGGACAGCAAGTTCTCATTTTTTTAAGAACTGTCAGTGAAGTTTCTCTCATTACCTTTTTGCAGAGTAAAGTTTTGGAAGCAGAAACACGGAATGAACACATGGCCGAGGAAAAGAACAAATATGCAAAACTTCTAGAAGAGGAGAGGTCAAACTCTTTACAAAATGGCACCCGGGTAATTGTTTAATATTTTTAACTTCCTCTTATTTCTTAAGCTGTTGTGACATTTTCATGATGCCTAGCGGTTTCTTTAACAGATTGAGAAACTGGAGAAATCAAACGAAAAGCTACAGCTGAGCAGGAAGAAGATTCAGGAGGCTCTTGCTAAGGTACAAGTCCTCATGTTATGTTCTGCACATTGCAAGATCATGTGAAGGTCGTGGTGTCAGCTTCTCTTATCAACTATGTGTGCTTGCTACAGACTACTGTCCTCCTGGACGAGGCCAAGATTCGTGAAGATGCCAGAAACGTCCAGCACAAATGTCTGGAGAAAGATTATGCAGCACTAAAAGAAGAAAATAAAACAGTAAGATAATGTAGATTTGTATTAGAGTTAATTGAAATGGGATTATTTTAGATTCTGTTTTCCAGAACCACTTTCCTTACTTCCTGTTCCTACAGCTCAAAACCACCATTAAGAGCTGGGAGGACAAACACAAGGAGCTGAACGAGCAGATAAAAGTCTATCAGAAGTCTCAGAAAGAGCTGGAGGACTCAGTGGTGCTCAAAGATCACAACGTGGAGGTCAGGATCTTTTTTAACTACCGTCACAATTTTTCTTGGATATTAGCTGTAAATATACAGTACAGGCCAAAAGTTTGGACACACCTTCTCATTCAATGCGTTTTCTTTATTTTCATGACTATATACATTGTAGATTCTCACTGAAGGCATCAAAACTATGAATGAACACATGTGGAGTTATGTACTTAACAAAAAAAGGTGAAATAACTGAAAACATGTTTTATATTCTAGTTTCTTCAAAATAGCCACCCTTTGCTCTGATTACTGCTTTGCACACTCTTGGCATTCTCTCAATGAGCTTCAAGAGGTAGTCACCTGAAATGGTTTTCCAACAGTCTTGAAGGAGTTCCCAGAGGTGTTTAGCACTTGTTGGCCCCTTTGCCTTCACTCTGCGGTCCAGCTCACCCCAAACCATCTCGATTGGGTTCAGGTCCGGTGACTGTGGAGGCCAGGTCATCTGCCGCAGCACTCCATCACTCTCCTTCTTGGTCAAATAGCCCTTACACAGCCTGGAGGTGTGTTTGGGGTCATTGTCCTGTTGAAAAATAAATGATCGTCCAACTAAACGCAAACCGGATGGGATGGCATGTCGCTGCAGGATGCTGTGGTAGCCATGCTGGTTCAGTGTGCCTTCAATTTTGAATAAATCCCCAACAGTGTCACCAGCAAAACACCCCCACACCATCACACCTCCTCCTCCATGCTTCACAGTGGGAACCAGGCATGTGGAATCCATCCGTTCACCTTTTCTGCGTCTCACAAAGACACGGCGGTTGGAACCAAAGATCTCAAATTTGGACTCATCAGACCAAAGCACAGATTTCCACTGGTCTAATGTCCATTCCTTGTGTTTCTTGGCCCAAACAAATCTCTTCTGCTTGTTGCCTCTCCTTAGCAGTGGTTTCCTAGCAGCTATTTGACCATGAAGGCCTGATTCGCGCAGTCTCCTCTTAACAGTTGTTCTAGAGATGGGTCTACTGCTCTGTGTGGCATTCATCTGGTCTCTGATCTGAGCTGCTGTTAACTTGCGATTTCTGAGGCTGGTGACTCGGATGAACTTATCCTCAGAAGCAGAGGTGACTCTTGGTCTTCCTTTCCTGGGTCGGTCCTCATGTGTGCCAGTTTCGTTGTAGCGCTTGATGGTTTTTGCGACTCCACTTGGGGACACATTTAAAGGTTTTGCAATTTTCCGGACTGACTGGCCTTCATTTCTTAAAGTAATGATGGCCACTCGTTTTTCTTTAGTTAGCTGATTGGTTCTTGCCATAATATGAATTTTAACAGTTGTCCAATAGGGCTGTCGGCTGTGTATTAACCTGACTTCTGCACAACACAATTGATGGTCCCAACCCCATTGATAAAGCAAGAAATTCCACTAATTAACCCTGATAAGGCACACCTGTGAAGTGGAAACCATTTCAGGTGACTACCTCTTGAAGCTCATCGAGAGAATGCCAAGAGTGTGCAAAGCAGTAATCAGAGCAAAGGGTGGCTATTTTGAAGAAACTAGAATATAAAACATGTTTTCAGTTATTTCACCTTTTTTTGTTAAGTACATAACTCCACATGTGTTCATTCATAGTTTTGATGCCTTCAGTGAGAATCTACAATGTAAATAGTCATGAAAATAAAGAAAACGCATTGAATGAGAAGGTGTGTCCAAACTTTTGGCCTGTACTGTAAGTTCTTAACTTGTGTCGACTTACCTCACACAAACATGTCTCCCTGACAGGTGCTGTCTGATCTTCTGGCAGACCTAGACGCTTGTGATTTGCAGAAAGGCGACACCAAAGTTTTAGCCAATGGTGAAGTAGCACCTGGTTAGTCCAACTCTATTATTAATTAATAAAAGAAATGATACACTTAAAGGGACAGTACACCTCAAATTCAGAAATACATATTTTTCCTCTTACCTGTAGTGCTATTTATCAGTCTAGATTGTTTTGGTATGAGCTGCTCAGTCTTGGAGATTATGGCCATAGAAATGTCTGCTGTCTGCCGTCTCCAATATAGGATGCCGTACACATGCCACATTTTTTGCTCCCTCACATTCATTGTTTTCAGTGTAGATACGCAGCAGGCACGCTTAAACGACAAAGTGACGCCATCATGGCGCGCACACCTATTTTTCAGGGCGCAACGGCTGTGCCCTGAGATAAACCCAGTTAAACTTTTGGAATGCAGCAGTGCACACCGCATGTCATCTGACGAGGACCAACCAATCATAGCCGACAGATATTTCTCCCTTCCTACGTAAATGTCAGTCTGTGATAAATATGGAGAAGTTGATCATTTTGGTGCAGGGCTTTTCATCTGTTCCCCAGACGATATGCCCACACACTTACAAACAGCACCTGGAGAAAGAAAAGCTCTGCATTCACGATTTCAGGTAAATAGGCTATGATATGGTGCTGGTTAAGATTGTTTGGCAACCTCAGACACAACCTGCCACCGCGCTCTTGACAGCTGGCTCAAAAAAGGCACAAAAGTAGCGCCCAGCACCCGACCTCGCGTTTTCCAAGTGGTTAAAGAAGCGGCATGTGTACGGCCCCTAATTGAACTAGATGGCATTTGGCTCGTGGTTTGAAAAAAAAAAAAAAAAAATCTTTCAGAGATCATAACCCAGTTACTCAAGTCAATCCACAGATCTTGTTGTAAGCAGTAAACTTTTTTCTTAATGTCAAACTACACCCACCAATCGAATCACAGCAGAAGGAAGTGTGCATCTACTCATGGATGAGAGGCTCGTGCTCGTGACAGCATGATATGTAAACAAAAATGGCGTCCTCCTCAGCTGTAACATTAGCTAGCTCAGTGATGCTAGATGAGCTAGCAGCACTTCCTTCTGCACGGTGATACGGTTGATGGGTGTAGCTTGGTAGAAAGAAAACACTCCTACATGAAACTCCTGACAAAGCGATCTATGGATTATTTTAAATAACTGGATAACGAAGGCAGACTTCTCCACGGCAGTTTGGATTTTCGGGTGAACTGTCTCTTAAAGTGTCACCACATATTTGTTGTCACAGTATAAATGATGTGTTCAGCTTCATACTAAGTGATTTGTGGCTTTTCAGTGTCTCTTTCAGACAAGAAGGTAGCTATAAAGAACCGAATCAAACAGATGATGGATGTTTCACGGGTAAGATATCACTAACTATTTTATAAACTGTAACTGCTTGGATGAGGAATGTTGATTCAAACATTCTACAGTTATGTGTTTCTTTTATTTAAAATACCTTCGCATGATGTGTTTCCAGGTCCAGACCACTCTGGCTGTGATCGAAGAAGAGCGAGATCGCTTCATGACCAAACTACTGAATGAAGAAAAGACTAGGAAATCACTGGAAGGTATGTTGGTTGTGGGTCCTTTGAGTTGTGTCACCTTTGAATTTAAGTTTTTTCCCTGCCTCTCTCTGAACATACCATCGTATATTGCAACAGAACAACACCAGGAGCTGGAGCACGCCATCGGATCCCTAAAAAGTGAGAAGAGCCAAGTTGAAAACCAGCTAAAGATGCTCCAGCAGAAAAACGAAATCATGGTCGAGATGTATCAGCAGAAGGAAAACGCTTTGCAGCAGTAAGTGAAGCCATAAAAGTCAGTCATCACTTTATTAACCATGCTGTTACACACTAGAAAATCTGCTCCTGATGAATATGAATAAGCAACGCTGTTTGAGCTTAATCCGCTCAGACATCTCATGAATAAAAGCATGTGTCTTTGAAATGGAAAAGATGTGGAGGAACCCTGTGTTGCTGTTATTTGAAGTTTCTGTGGCTTCACAGGAGATTAACCAAGGAGGAGTTGGAGCGACGCAGCAAAGAGAGTCAGCTGTCTGAGGTGGGAGGGAAAGCCGTCGAGGCCGAGGAGCAGGTTAAAGTCTTACGGCAACGCATCAATGAAATGGAGGAGCAGATGAAGAAGACTGAGGAAGTCTACAAAGAGCAGGTTGGTATTAATTTTTGAACGAAGAAGTACAGAGAGGAATCTCACTGAAACCTGAATCTTTACTGAATATCTTCTTCCTTGTTTCTTTTTTCAGATAAAAGAACAGGAAAACAAAACTCACTCCAACTGGGTACGTTGCACAGAGCGGCACAATTTATTCTCATATGCAGATGTGCTAGAAATGGTCATTTAAGCCTGTTTGATAATAAGATGAGGCATAAAGATTTTAGTTGCACACTAATTATCTGTTACGTCTCCAGGTAAATGCTCGTAACGCAGAGCGAGCTCTGAATCAAGAGAAACTTGAATCATCAAAGCTCCGTGAAAAGTAAGTGTTGGCAGAATTAGTAGAAACATTGCTTCATTGTTGTTTACAGTTTAACTGAACAAGTTTTAACTTCCTGTTGGTAGAGCAGATAATTTGACTAATCTAGAGCAGATTATTCATATTATCAACAGAGATTTATGATTATTAGTCATTTTGAAGCAAAAATACCCAGCATTCACTGGTTTCAGCTCTTCAGATGTGAGGATTTGCTCTCATTTTTATTATGTCATTGTAAATTGAATATTATTTGGCTCTTGACAAAAGGAACAACTTGGTCCTTGAACACTGGGCTTTGGGAAAAACCTCAGCAGATTAATTTATAATGAAAATAATATTTAACCTGTCTGTGGTACTTATTGCATCTAACGGTTTTTGTTTGTCCTTTTACCCATTAACAGACTGGCTGTACTCACCTCCCAGCTTAATGAGCGCCGTGCTCCTCTCTTCAGACCCAACTCTGGACAGCCTGCAGGCCCTCGTCAAGGTAAACACACCACACAACATCTCCTGCTGTTTTCTTCCCATTAGGACAGTTTCCATCCTACAGAGCTTTGAGAGGAGGATCCTGTTTTCTAATGAAATCCTGCATGTCTTTCTTTTTGTTTTTTGTTTGTACTAAATGAGAAAGACGTTGGGCATTTGTCATTTCAAAGAAGCCGAAAAGAGGACTCGTCTTTACATATATTGTTGTATATCATCAGCTGTTTCTTTTCCTTTGGTAAATGATGGTTTGATCGTAACAGGTGATTCATATGGGGCCTCTCCTGTGAGTGGGGGTGCTCCATCCCCTCCAATAATGATTGAGGGTCCCAGGCGCCCTCCTTCTGCCCCTGTAGGGCGAAGAATTGACCCGTATGGTGAGTCCCGGTGGATTATTTCGCCCTCTTTAATCCTCCCTACAGTTGGACCTCATGCCTTCACTCCAACCTTGTTTCCTTAAATCTTTTCGCCTCTGTCACACCTGATTTTCTTATTCTTTTCAGATCTTTTACCTTCCTGAGTTCTCCTTTTATGTCTTCCTACTTTGTATAACATCCTGATTCCTCCGTCTTCACCTCTCTTTCTCCTGCTCTTGTTTTTCCCTTTGAAATTTCCATTGAAGTTTTTGTGTTGCTGTTGATTTGTGCTTCACCTTTTGTTCTTTAAAGGCTCTAAAAACATGTTTCTCAATCAGCTTCTGAGTATAAGCAACAGCTTCCTAAACCTAAACAGTCCTGATGAAGCAGATTCACTGAATTTTTTAGTGTAAAACTCATAATAAATAATACAGGATGGGATTATTTTGTATCTGTGATTGTTGCTATAGTCATGAATTACAGATAATTCCAATGGAAACCAAGTTTTCCGGGGCTTTAAAATCATCCAGAATACTTTGTTTCCTTTTAATGTTGTCCTCATGGATTAGAGAAGACCCTGTGCCCTTGTAATAATTTGTTTCTCCTTGTTAGTGTCTTACAACTGTGTCTTCCCTGGAAACGTACAACAGGCAGAGTCTTGAGGGATTTCATTCATCATTGTATCGTCTTTTCTTCTCCCCTCAGGTCCGCGACCTCCATCAGACCCACACGGTCGTTACGCTGAAAACAAACACATCTCTGGGATGGGTATGTTGTCTACAGTCTCTTTGTTTCAAAGGGTTCACCTTTGCTTTTAACGTCTGTCCAACACCATGCTCTTTCTCCTCTTTCAGAGATGATGGGCCCCCGGAGCTCGTCACCTGCCAACATGGATGGATCTGTAAGTCTTTTCCTCATCAGATCATTTTTAATTCAATACCTTCCCTCCTTCCATGTGAAGGCCTAGAGCTCCTACCTACATGTCCGTTGTGTCTGTCCCTGCTCTAAAACAGACACAGGCAGTAGATCCACAGATAAAAGCAGAGACACAGGCTGAGGCCTCTACAGACAGTCCAGAGCCAGTGAGTATAGAGGCTGTCCAGGTGTAAAGGCGTATGCAAGCACGCTACCCCCACTGCCTTAAAGATCGATTTGGATTTGGGAAGACATTCAAGGCATTTCACTTCACTGGGGCTGACTTAACTTTTTGGGCTGAGTGTGTGGTTTCACCTGTTCTCACAGCACTGAGAGACGCAGAGTCTAAACTTGAGCTAAAATGTGTCTTGGAAAATATTTGGGTCTGTGAAAGCTGCAAATGTGTGTCAGAGGTTGAGTATTTGTGACAGTGGTCTGGTTTTTCATCCAATAATCATGGTGTGTGGTTACTGGTCATGTGATTTGAGCCCTGGCTAAATGCACTTTTTGTAAGTTGTGTGGTTTGTGGATCTTCTCACTGCATGACTAAAACTGTGATCCATCTATACTCACTTAGTAGTGATGGCCAAATGAAGCCTCATAAGGCATTTTCTTCATTTTATGAGCCCACTAGATGGCGCTAATTGTTCAACAAAAGGTTGAAAGCAGACTGAAAGGCCGTTCTTTGAGCCTCTCTCTTTAAACCATGAGCGCCATCTAGTGGGCTCAGAAAATAAAGAAAATACTTCATGAGGCTTCATTTGGCCGTCACTATTTACAGAACCAACTAAAACTCTACAGAATGCACTAGAACACAACACATTCCTCTTTTTCACTATCGTCCGTCTTTCTCAGGGACCTGGATCCTTCCTAGCGTCTCCAATCAGGGACTCACCGGGCCCCGTGGTCCAAGGACCTCCCCCCGGCCCTGGACCCCATGACCAGCTCCCCCCTCCGGGACCCCCCGGCCGCCTGCCGCCTCCTGGACCTTACAGACCTCCCCGACCTGGCCTCTACCACCTCCCACCAGGTCCTCATGGTCCCCTTCCTCCAAATGTACCTCCTCATCTTGGACCTCCACTACCAGCCAATGGACACCCAGGCATGCCCCTGCCTGGACCAATGGGAGGAGAGTTTGGGCCTCGACCTGCCAACGGACATGCATTCCTACCCAGGCCGGGCCCTGGACCTGTGCTTGATCCTCGGGGTCCGCCACCGCCACACTTCCGTCCCCCTCCACCTCACTTCGGACCGATGCCTCTGCCACCTGGTACGTTCCGCCCTTTAATGATGAGTAATAAAATTTAAATTGAATCTAATGCTTACAATAAAGGAGTGTACGTACCTGGGATGTTTTGTTTTTGTGTTGTATTGTGGTATTAAGAGTCATGGAATTTCTCTGGTATTGGTATCGACTGGTAAATGTCTGGTATGACCAGCTGCAGACCCTGCGAATCATGAACTTGACAGAATACCTGAGCTGTTTCTCAGTCTGTCTCCTCCTTCATCACAACATCACATCCCTTCTGTTTTGTTCTGTTTAGGTGTCCGTGGACCTATGGGACCACGTCCACCCATCCCTCCTGACATGCGCTACATGGGACCGCGGGATCACACCGGCCCACCAATGAATCTGCCTCCCGGCGTCCCTCCCCACCCCGCACACGGCGACGCATTCGGTCACGCTCCACCCGATGCCCTCCACAACTCACACACCGGCCCCAGACAGGACCTGCACGTGAAGCAGGAGGCCCCTCAGGACTCAGCGAGGCCAGCGATGGTCAAGCCTTAAAGACTCCACCGAGCTGTGGCAGAGGACTTGAACTTAACCCCCAAACCCCCATCACATTAACAACCAACAACCCAGATCCTGTCTAAACAAAGGTCATGATTATTTTCATATATCACTTAAAATAAAATAAAAAAAAGCATTGATGTTTATTTAAAAAAAAACAAAAAAAACATGGTCCTTAAATTAAAGCATCAATAATTATGTGTCTGAATCAACATGAGTTAAGAGGGTTGCCACTTTTCTAAACCGCTTATTGTGCAATAATAATTCATCATATGCCAGAGGATTTTCATTTTTGTTTATCTTTAAAAAAAAATATATATATAGCAATGATTTTTAAGGGGCAATTTTTTAAATGTCATTTCCTGTGGAAATTATTTTAAAAAAAAAAAGGAGAGGGAGGAGGGAGTTTAGCTTCTAGCATTTCAGGAATACCATAATTTCCCAAAGCTGTTGCTTTAGAGCCGACTGTAAAGCAAATGTGTAATTTGATGGCCAGATGTATAACTTATTTTACTATGATGGTAGAACTTTTAATAATAAAGAATGTAAAAGCTGTCGGTGTTGCGTCACTAATCACTCACAGGATGTATATACTTTTCTACATGTCAAGGCGTTTGCTTTATTTGTAGAAAATAAGACATACATCTGAGCTGCTGCGGAGACAGAAACATGCTGATGCTCTGGATGAAACCACCAACCAAGCTGCTTCATTTGTAGTTTATTAGAAATTAAAAGCATTGTAAATGTTTGATACAATCCCCGTCAGTCTGTCAGACTGACTCAAACTCAAAGCGCTCCACAGGCCTCGCTTCACCCCGTCTCGTCGCGCTTCATCATACACACACACAGTTACTGTATACTCAGCAGTTAGTGTATCTTACAGTTAATTTACAGTCCTGAATATTGTGACGTTACAAAAATAAAATCTGAAATCAAACATGTAGATGTTTTTAGTGAACACAAACATCTGCAGAGTCAGACAGGAAACATAAAAACTTACATGCAACTTTAATTAAAATAAAAAAAGCCCTTAATGACAGGGTGGTGTGAGATCTCAGAAGGTAGTAGTGGGCTCAAGGAGAAGACGATTCCTGTCCTTTGCCGGTAAAGATGCATCCTCTATAGATCAAATATATCTGTATACATATAACATCTGATCTGCAGATTAACACTTGGTTTAAAAAGAAACGTTCCTGGGCAGGTGACGAACGTCCAACCTGAACGTTTCTGCTCGCTTAGAAAAAAACATCTGGACCGCAACACTGAATACAGAATCATGCAAACCATGCTGCATCCAATTTAATCTTAATGCATTTATAAAACCGTATGAAACTGTATTTAAATATAGTAAATCCAATACATACTGAAGCAGGAACACTGAACTGAGATGGAGACATTTAACTGCTACTCTTATTAATTCTGGGCTGAAACAAATATTTAGTACAGAAATTATATTTGAGATATGTCCTGACAAAGCCGACACCACGTTTAAAAATGGTCAGTGCATCATAAAATGACACCTACTGTATGTTTCACCCATAACTGCACCAGTTTAACATTGCAGATGCCACTGCTGGATTCAATACTGTCTGTGACTTTTTAAGTGTTTAGGATTACTATTATATATAATTATAAATGTGCTGTTTTCATCTTATGATAGCTTTAATGTAGAGACAACAGCGTGCCAGCTGAAACTTGAAGAACATATTGAACAGCAGGAAGAGCTCTGATTGGACATGCATACGACAGCTGCCTAATCAGAGTATCTGCTGCTTTAAATTAAGGCCGCACTAATCAAACGCGTTATACTTTTAACAACTCAAATGACGAATTGTTAAAGTGGAAACTGTGAATGTTAAAGCACATAAATTCTGAGATGATCGTAAATTAATGTATCTAATAGTCTTTTAAAAATTATTTTTGCGATCCAGATTTTCTCAGACGCGTCACTACTGGGAGACAGTGTTTTCATAAAACTAGGCTGTCTATGTGGTAAAAAGACGGAAATACGTTTGAGATTGGTGCCAGAGAAAACAAAAGAAAAGAGCTGTGACATTTGCTTTTGCTCAAGAGGTAGAAAACCTACAACTACCAGAATGCACTGCACCAGTCCCGCTAGTGGGTGACACAATGCAGCTGGGCCGTTTGGCAAGGAAACTCTAAAAGAAGGAGAGGACATGACGTCAGTTTCACATTGGAGCCAGACTTTGATGTCAGTTCTATTGGAGTTAAAAGGAGCAGACATGGCAGTCACACTATAACCCATCATATCTTTAGTGTTTCAACTTGTTTCAACCACCATATTTAAGAAACACACATTATACGATATTTATCTAAATGTGCACATTTGTTTTTCTTGTTACTGGTCTCCAAACAGATCGTGGCTCTGTCCGTCAGCTGCATATTCAACTTAAGCCCATGTTTGCTCTGAGCTACATCATGAAACGCAGCCAACCGGGACGGGTCAATTCAATTCAATAGAACATTTGCTATCACTCTCTGACACCGCAGCTCTGTTTGTTTCTGTTACACCTTCACCAGAGTTATCGCTTAACATTAATGGTTTTATCCCCAAATTAACATAGGGCGTCCACTGACTATCGTAGCTAAACAAAGTCCAACTGCTAACTTAGTTCACTGACGAACAAAGCAACAAGTACCGGTAAGTAATGGAGGTCCACATTTAGCAGCACCTCCTGATTATATTTAGAAACATTATAGAGCTGCCTAACGTTAGCCCTCCTGATTATTAAATATCCTTAACTGTTTGAAGGTTGGTCAGTAATGATATCAAATACATGTAGCCTACAATACTTCGTGCTAGCAGCAGGTAGGTTAGCGATCTTGGACCCAACAGGGGCAGCTGACGGACAGAGCCGTGATCTATTTGGAAACCAGTAACAAGGAAAACGAACACGCACATTTAGATAAAACACAGTTGACAAAGTTTGTTTTAATCTGGTGGAAGGATTTTTCGGTCAAAGGCGAAACAACAAAGATATAATGGGTTAGAGTGTGATTTGCCCTCCCACTGACTTAAATAGCAGTGGCACCAAAGTCTAGCACACATGCAAAATTCGGACGCTGTCACTGATGTCATGCTTTTTCTGTCTTCTATAGTTTCCTTGCCGTTTGGTAAATTGACACAGGAAACAAAATGGCGGCAGGTCTGGTAACAAACGATCTCAAATTACATTTAAACTGTAAGCTAATACATGTTTCTGAAAACATTTTCGGCAAGAAATAGGCAACACAGTAACAGAATCTTGGTTTATATTTCATCAGCGCGGCTTAGTTCCACCATGTTTTCGGCTTGTAGCGCCGAGATGTGGCTGCTGGTAAGATGGAGGCAAGTTTACCACACTTTATTAACACAGTGGTTCCCAACTGGTCCAGACACAGGGTCCAGATTTATCTTCAGTCATTAGTTCAAGGTCCTCACAGTTCGATATATTCAGCATCATACTTGTGTTTGACCATGTGGTTGAGCTAGTTTGCTGTCTCTGTCATGTAGCTGTCCGTTAGTCACTTACTCTACAGCAGGGAACGGCACTTCAAAATAAAAGCTCTGTGCTGGAAATGCATTGAACTTCAAAATAAAGCTTTTTTTTTTTTTTTTTTTTAACAAACTTGACATGTTCACAAGTCACTCCTGGTCCCACTTTTGGACCAGGACCCACCAGTTGGGAACCACTGCATTAACACAATCGGTAAAGTATCTCTTTTAGCAAGAATAAAATAAACTTAATTATTAATTTGGGGAATTTAATCTTTTTTTACGCATTTAATAAATTCATCGAATCAATTAATAATTAAACACGATGAAAGTCTGTAATCGTGGCACACACAAACCATTGTGGACTAACTTTTAATATCTGCAAACACGTTACTGTTTGCATGTTGTGTTATTTATTCAGGGAATGACTTTGCAAACTCCACATAAAACTCAAATGAAGCACCTGCAGTAACTCACGTTGTGTCCCATTTACCAAAAATCAGTGAGCTGAGGAAGACTGGAGATGAGGTGGGTTGACTGTTTCAACATAACCCTGCTGTGATATGAACGCCGTGTGTCTCCACCTGGTCATAGGCAAACGTATTTAGAGTGTTTTTGGAGGAGGGTTACGCACTTGGCAACAGAATCAAAGAATACAAAACTCTTTACTTTCTTCATATACTCATTGGGAGAAAAAACGACCTTGGTTTAGTATTGCTGGATGTGATGAGGTGGAGCACCGCACTCTGCTGGATGTGGGTGCTGGGAGAGATTAAAAAGAGGGTGGGTCAAAGTTCGAGGCGCGCTGCGACTTAGCTGTCCTTGTGTAACGTCTGATGGAGATGGAGATAGAGTTGTTTCTTTGTTAGAAGCTGCAGTTTCTTTCTCTTGAAGTCCGTGGGCTTCTTGTACCTGAAATCAAAGCAGGTTCAGTTTATACGTCATGTTTCACAAAGGAATCGCTCACATGATTTAAATGTCACGTGTCAGTGGACTGACTCACAGTTCGATGACAATGGGGCCGGGTTTGATCTCGTCCATTTCCATGAAGGCAAAACATTTAGTGCTGGTAAACCTCTTTTTGGGTTTGTAGTGCTTGAATTCGAAGAAGATAGCTGCTCCTGGAAGAACGCACAGCGGGTTTCACAACATTAACTAAAGGGTTAACATACTAAATAATTACTGCACATCTAGACCCCAGTGGCATTAAAGGATAAGACTGGCCTTACTCTATACTTCGTTCGTCTCAGTACGTTTTCATGCACAGTGAAACCGAGCAACAGGTATAGCTCGACTACACCATTTAATTGGACTACTGTCCTTGTCCCAGGATACAAGCACAGGAGGGGAATCCATTTATTGACAGAAGTATGTCCGACTCTGCTACAATAGGCAGCAATATGCCCCCTTTCAGCTTGTGTTATTGAACCTTTTTCTGGTCGACCTATCTCTTCACAGACCAAACAATCGACAAGTTAGCTACGGTTAGCTAGCGGCAAACTGGTGCCATAATGGACAACTTAACAGCTCTGTACATTTCGGCTCTGGATGGTGATTTCGCCATGTTGTTTCCAGCTTCTTCCTCTGTTATGCCTTTAATGCTATTCGAGTTCCAGGTTGCAAGTTTTTTTTTTCCTAGGATGGCGAAGGCAAGACCCGCCCCACTCTGCCCTACCCTAACCAATCTCATTCCACATGCCTAACCCTAACCAATCCAGCCAAAAAAGGCAATGACTACTAGCCAATCAGAGGGAGAGTAGGGTGAACCGTGCCTTTGCCATCCTAGGAAAATCAAATTACCTTCCAGGTCACAGCCCGGGGTGGAAACTGTGGAGCATGCAGAGTGCCAAGGCCAGTTTGGGTCCGATTGACCGCAGACATGCAGGTGTAATTTGACTCCCGAATGCATTATCTGGGTGTGTTAGTATTTGAGAACTTCGATTTAATACGATTTTAGTCAGGCTAACATGTTTACATGTATTTTAGAAGACTGGTTTAAGATGGACCAACACAACAAATCGATTTTCTCTAATATCATGTAAATGTACTGACTCAATACTTTTCGAATGACCTCCCTTGTCTGTGACTTCGTGTGGCCGCGAGCCGGATGAGTGTTGGAGATATCGGCTGTAGAGATTGCTGCCTTCTCTTGAGTATAATGCAACTATAATGGTACTCCTTGTGGTGCTCAAAGCGCCAAAAAAACAAAACTGACTAGGAACTATTTTATTTCTACCGAACTGCACCCATTAAGCGAATCACAGTGCAGAAGGAAGTGTGCATCTACTGCTAGCTCACCTAGCACCACTGAGCTAGCTAATGTTACAGCTCAGCCGAGGTAGGCGCCATTAATGATTACTTCTCACGCTGTCACAAGCCTCTCTTCCGTGAGTAGATGAACCTTTTCTTTGTAGTTGGCGATGGAGGAAAATAGTTCCTACATGACATTTGAGTGCTATATCATAGGCAAACTGGAGTTGCTTGAGTTTCTTGAAGACGTTTCACCTCTCATCCAAGAGGCTTCCTCAGTTCCAACAGACTGGTGCAGAGTCGCCGGCTCTAAACTCTGTGTGGGTGTGAACCCTTACAAAGTCGTTAGAGTCACCTGTGATCTCTGAGATTCAGAGTCGTTATGGTCACCTGTGAGTCGTTGACCCACCCAGCCATCATGTGTGTCTAGTTGCCTACGATATAGGATTTAAGATTACCATGACCTGGATGACTGAGAATCTTCACCAACATCCTGCTGACAACAAGGTCTGTGGATTATCTTGACTAACAGGGTCATGATTTTTGGAAGGAGACATTGCTGTTTAGTGCAACCGACTTCCGTTATATTGGAGAGAAGGCAGACATCTCTACAGCTGATATCTCCAACACTCCGCAACTCACACCAAAACAACCTAAACTGATGGACAGCACTGCAGGTAAGAGGAAAAGCATGTATTTTTGATTCTGGGGTGAACTGTCTCTTTAACATACAGTACATTAACAAGCAGTTGTGCCTTCAGTGCCCACTGTCACTGTAGTGACAGATCCTGCGTGACAGTGTGACTCATTCTGTGTCTTTGATAGTGACACAGAGGGATAAGATATATCAATCTTTAGCTACACAGACAGTGATGACAGTGGGATCAGTTTATTGTTGATTTCGGTCTTTGAAGTGGAAACAGACAACTTTACCTTTTGGTAATCTCTCCACATGTCTCTGGATTTCCACGTCCACGCTGAAGTGAATGTAGGTGTCTTCCTTCCTGGAGGCCACAGGTGTGTCCTGCACTGGGTTCACATCTATGCCGTTCAAATCTGCAGCCAGAGAAACAACAGTGTGATCTTGGTTTTGCCAAACTAATGTTTTATACTCAGATTTTCACCTCAGGGTGATGTACGTCAGCAGCATTCTCACAGAGATGTGAACAAGTACCTTTGACACTGATGGTCATGTACGGATCGATGCACTGCCCAGCATCCTTCAACCCGATTTTTTCGATCTTTAGTGTAAGTAGTGTCATCCCAGGCTCTGAGGGTAACCGTGGCAACAAGGTACCTGTAGAGGACAAAGGTTGCAGACAGTTGCCTTAACAACAGAAAGAGATGTCATCTGAGATTAGCCAATAGCAGGCAGTATTTTCAGTGGCATGCTCTTCACCATCAGGTTACACGCTTTTGTGTCTGGGACTGATGAGGCAACATTTGTTTTTGTCAGTGGAGTCTGGCTTTGAAGAGAGCACGGATGAGTTTCACTTTCAGTTTGTCAACTGATGTTCTGGTATAGCTTTGTTGTTGTTTAACACGGCCCCCGATCACTTCAATTTATCAAGAATTTTCTCAGATTTCAGATTCTTTTTTCACCGGAGGCATGCGAGAACAACATAGCTTTCTTCACAAATTCAACGTAACACGGGGTGAGTACCATAAAGCTTCAATTAAACGCCCAGGCTCTTCTACTAGTCTGGTGCAGCTACACACTTTGACAAATAAAGGCCTGTCGCAATTAGAAGCCTGGTCTGGTTGCCAAGCAGTTCATCTTTTTGAAAGTTCTTTAAATCTATAAAACCCAGTTCAGACCAAAGATTCACAGCGAGACAAGTTGAAACATGCAACTTCTTATGTGCATAAGCATAAGCAGCAGCGACCCACCATCCGACACCAGCACACTGTGAGGACGGAAACAGAGGACTCGGCAGGGATGGAGCACCTGCTGCAGCAAGTGAACACGCCATCTGCAGCCATTTTAACTTGACCAGCGGACTTCACTACAAGCTGATTGGCTGTTGAAACATGTTCTAAAACCAGATGCTGGCGATTTGACCAGCTGAGTTGCACGTGACACCATCAGCCAGCGTGAGTCGAGCTCAGACCGGCCAGTTCACACCGCTGCAACTTTTCTCTGCAACGTTCTAAAACGGTTTCGTCTCGTCATGATTGTTTGGTCTGTATTGGGCTTAAAAGTGGATTGTTGACTACCTACTTGAGCTAACTTCAGTTAGCTGTTTAGATCGCACATACAAACATAATTGTTTAAACTTTCGTCAATAGGGAGACGCTACACATTGTTAGCTCGGTTCATTTCATTTTACTGAAACCATGAGCACCAGAGAAGACAAGTAGTGACTGTCTACCCTTGAGGTTGTCATTAAGTCAGAATATGTGTCCGTTCATCGATTACACGGTACGTTATTTATATTTCTTTAGACCATAAGGGTCCGCCAATCACAAGAATCAAAAGGTGTCGATCCATTTATTTTCATCCGCTTATCCGGGGCAAAGCACCCAAGACATCCCTCTCCCCAGCAACGCCTCTGAGCTCCTCCTGGGAAGGCGTTCCCAGGCCAGATGAGATATATAATCCCTCCAGTGTGTTCTGGGTCTGCCCCGGGGCCTCCTACCAGTGGGACGTGCCTGGAACACCTCTAACAGGAGGCACCCAGGAGGAATCCTGATCAGATGCCCGAACCACCTCAACTGACCCCTTTTGATGCAAAGGAGCAGCGGCTCTACTCCAAGCTCCCTCCAGATGTCAGAAGGTGTTTCTCATAAAGATTAATCCAACTTCTGAATATTGTTGTAACAGGATAAAGTGGTGTTGTGTCGGTGTGCCGGGTGGCGTAAAACAAGTGTCATAACATAACATATAATTGATGTTATTTGAAGCCTAAAGGCCTGTCCCAAATATAGGCCTGTTGAGTTAAGTGATTTAAGCAAATATTAGCCCAGGCTTCTAATTGAAGTTATATGGTAACTTCTACAAAAATGATCATTTCAGAGTCCCTTTACATTTTTGTCAGTTCAGCATCAGGCCATGTGTTCCCACTAACAGGCAGTGATAAAAACACGTTGATCATGCAGCAGAGAACGAGTTCAGACGTTGGTTGATAAAAGCCGTACCTTGTGAAGCTGCGAATGAGGCAGGCAGGAATGAGCGGTGAAGCCATGCACAGCACCGACAGAAGGAAACAAAAAGACACACAGTCAAACAGCCCTCCCAAACAACAGGACAACATGACACAACAAATCAAACATCCCTCAAACAGCAGGTGTGTTTGATTAACTGTAACAGACACAGTACCGGGGGCTCTAGGGGGGAAAGCCTCTATGGATCCTGCTCCTGCTGCGGCGTCCTCCTCCTCCTCCTCCAGCTCCAGGTTCTCCTCTTCACCTGGAGCGAAGATTTTCCTGACAGAGGAACGACAGGTTAGATGACGTCAACGATCACGCAGGATGTTCTGTAAAATACAGGCTCAAACTCGCAACAGTGTGAGATATAAGTAAAGGATATTTACCTTAGGGGCACTGGCTGCACATCAAAGGGGAATTTTTTGTTGTAGGTCAGAATATTTTGAATTACTGCAGACACAAAAGGAGGAAGATCAGAATACACAGTCATGACAGCAGGATTAACAAGGTGACACTTCATAACTCCCAGTCACTACACTTACTGGTTTCCAGTTTCTTCAGCTCTTCTAACTTGAAGTCTTCCTTTGACTGTGTGCACTGCAGAAGAACAGACATATTTAATACTCTCATATGCAGCAATTGTTCCCATTTAAATAATTTGTAAGTGCACAAGAGTGAGAGTAGGTGGAAGCACTTGAATCACAAATACTGTCAAGTGGAAAGTTTGATATGTTCTTAAAAGTCCTCATCTATGCTGACGATTAATGTATTTATATATATATATATATATATGTTCTTTTTAAGAAGCAACATTATTGGTGTATTGATTTGTTGTTCATCCTTATTGTTTGGTAGGTCACACCAGACAGGAAGGGAGGATGGGGTAGGATTTAAGTTGCATTTGTACACTAGTTCAGTGGTTTTCAAATGGTGTGCACTCCTGTGGAATTTTGTGATAACCACACATTATTATAGCAATATTCAACTGGGCCTACACAAAAAGTTATTAACTAATTTTCAATTGACTGTATCAGTATGTTGTGCACACCCATTTCCTAATGAAGAGGTAAATTCTGCCTAAAGAATTTAATTTAATTTAGTTTAATTTAAAAACATCTTCACAGGGAACCTACTTGTCGCCGTTCGTGCATGGGAATTATAAGTGTGTGACACATAACATTATCTTACATTATTTCCTGTTTAAATTAATGTGTTATTGGTCATTTGATGTAATTTTAAAAAGTTTAAAATGAATCCTTGAATTATTTTGTTAAACATTTAATGAGTAATAGCTGGTTGTCAATTGTTATTTGATGTTAGTAAATAAAAACAAACATTTATGTCATGATATGAGTGATAACACAGGTTATACAGTCTATTGCATACAGATATAAATACAGTTGTGCCTTGGGCATAAAACGTTTAAAAACCACTGCACTAGACTGATGTTCACTGATTGTGTTACATACTAAAAATAAATATTGCAAGTCATAAAAAAGAGAATACGCAATTTCTTTGACGACTCAAAGCAACAAAACTTTCTGAAAGTTTAAACAGTACCATGAATAATAATTCCCCCTCTTGGAATTTGTGTGACTTTGATGACCCCTCAAGGCAGAGCATATGTTTGGCACAGAAAGACAGTTTGTAAATTGTCTGTTTCTAGCAAAAATATTAATATTGAGTACAAACAGGGATGCACGATATTGATTTTTTTTGCCGATATCTGATATGCCGATATATAACAACTTACTTGGCCAATAACTGATACAGATATCGATATATCCACTTTTTTTCTCCCACTTAATTTCAGTGATCATCAAGTCTCTTCTATAATGGAATTAGCATCATATTATGTATGTATACTCTTGTTGTGATCCCCCCCGGCAGATGGCGATATTAAATACGATGATTTTCAGAGTATGTAAAATTTTTTCATTGTGTCAAATAAAATAAAAAAAGCATGTTGGCCGATTCTGATGCCGTGCTGATATTATTGTGCATAATAAGTACAACTTCATAAAATCAAGGGATTTAGTTTTTCTTCACCAGAATTTTTTTCCTGACAGTATAATGAAGGCTGTGAATCAGCTTTAGACCATCATACAGTGAGATATGAGGTAAAAAATTACAACAAAAAATTAATAAAATAATTTTTATTAATAAAATATTTATATTGTTTATAAAAAAATTATTTAAAAATTAAATAAATAAAGTAAAAATAATTTTAAAAAATAAAATAAAAAATAACAAAAATACATTTAAAAAAAATTAAATGTTAATTTAATTTTAACAAAGTAAACTTTGATAACACTGATTTAACGGCAGTGTTTTAAGTGAAGTACAGATTTTAACCTATCTTGTCTGTGTCAGGGAGGTTGATGAAGCTGAAAACTTAAATTAAGTCTGGTGTACTGTTTGTAACATGTTTTAAATTTTCAGAATATTTTGGTGGCTTGTCAAACATTTCTTAGAGAGTGTGGGGGATCTGAGAAGGTTTGGACTCATGACCGCACTATTTTACCTACTGATCCTCATTCATTTTTGATTGTAATGTTCATCTCTAAAGAACTATGGTCAAAATTTGTTATTTTAAGAGGTGCTCTTTAGATGTCTGTTTCTAAAAAACATATTCCACACACTGTGTTTCATACAGATTAAAGAAAACAATGCCACCCACCTGCAGACTGGCGCTCCTCATCTCCAGGCATGTTGCAATCTTTCCTAAAGTTTTCTAAAAAAAAAAAAAAAAAAAAAAAAAGAAGAAACCCACTTGTTAGATAATGTAGAATCCCTAACTCGTCTGTGCAGAGGTTACAGAGACACTTAATGATTACCTTCTGCTCCTCTGTGAAGTCTGATGAGTTTGTAGACTGGACCTCTTTCTGCAGCTGCCTCGCCAAACTAGAGAACACAGAGGTGAGTTAATGCTTTGCAGCAAACTTCTTGTAGTGTAAGATGACTTCATCGTGTATACCTGCGCCCCCTTCTGGTCACAAACAGAAGAAGTCATGATTTATATTTCATATTATTAATGCAATTTCATACAAAACAATAATTAGCAGACAGAGCAGATCACATCAGTAAAAAATGTGCAGACAAGATCTTGTGTGTGAGCAGGAAACATTACTCAGTGAGCAGATGAAAACCCACCCATAACAATAAGAGGGTGTGGCTGACTATTTCTCAATACTCTGAGGGAATATTGGCCCCATTTCTGCACTGCATGACACAAAATGAAACACACTGCACACAGCTCTGGATGCTTTCTCCATGACAGGACTCTCCCTGCACTCAGACTGCTGCCTGAATGAGTCTGGAGTGCAACATCCTCACACACACACACACACACACACACACACACACACACAAGCGACTGTGCTGCTGCCTCTGCAACTGCCACATCACGTCATGGATGGGTAGGGTTTGTTTACTGCTGTGAGGAGCTGACTGACAGCTCACAGGCTCCAACTTCTTGTGAACCACCGTGCAGCCACTGTCTCCTACATGCCGTTATCTCCCTGCACATTCAAGGATTCAAACAGAAGCAGAAGCATGGATGAAGCAGCTGTGTGACAGGCAGGACACACATGTTGAATGCAACTTACATTTGGTACTCATCTATAGCCTCCACTAATTGTCCCCACGAGTCAAAGTCTGTGCCTTTCCTAAAACTGGCGTGCCATTTCTGAATAGTCTTGTTGACATCAGACATGTTGGCAGGGCGGGTACTCGCGGCGCTCTCAGGGCAGCATAGCCGGGGAGGAGGCTCATCTACGGGGCTTCAGCGGCACCAAGCAGCGGCGGCGTCGTCAGCCCGGTTCTCTGCTGTCCGGAGCCGCACGGATACACCACTGACACCCCGACCAAGCCCTTTCTGCCTGCTCACCCTAATATCGCATCCGCAGCAGAGAGGAAGTCCCGCCCGGAGCTCGGGGTGCGCGCGTTTTGGGACGCGGGGTCGCTCGAGTGGACGGCAACAGGATGTGGACGTGTTGGTGGTCGCGAGACACTGCTGCAGGAAATCATTTTTTTAAAGGCGCAATTTTTTTTTTTTTTTATCACCGTGTAAATCAAAATAAATGAGTAAATTAAATTTTGTTTTTGTTTTAAATAAAAAATTAAATTAAAAATTTTTTTGTTGTAAAATACAGAATCTGCTTCTAAAATATAATAAGTAGAAAAAGTATAGGCTAATGGGACTACATACAAGTATTAGTAGTGCTCAAATGTACTTCCACCATTTCCATTAATTCCTCCACTGTGTAATTTATTTTAGAAAATATACATGTATTTATTTATTGATAAAAGTATTAGAAAACAAAACAAAAAAATATTTCCGTAATTAACTCTCTAATTAACTACAATTAAATATTTTTTGGCATTTTTTAAAAAAAAAAGTTTTATTTGTTTGTAGATTATTATTATTATTATTATTATTATTATTATTATTATTATGAATAATAATAATAACAATAATAATAATAATAATATCAGTAATAATATCAATAATTTTATTAACATTGTTAACCCTTTTTGTTTACAGATTATCATTATTATTATTATTATTATTATTATTATTATTATTAGCAATGATAAGAATAATAATAAGAGTAGGAAAGAAAACCTGCTAACAAACAAAAAATAAATAAAAAATGCCAAAAAAAACAACATTTGATAGTATTTAATTACAGAAATATTTTTTGTAATATTGTAATCTAATTCATTTTTCAACAAAGAAAAAGAGTATAAAAATAATAATAAGAAAAACAAGAATAATATATTTTATTTGGAGAGTGCTTTTTATGGTACTCAGACACTTTAAAAAAGTTAAAAAGGATCATAAAAATATAATACACCAAAATATATAGCACACAACATTATTCACACATAAAAAGCAATTTTGAAAATGTGAGAAAATTAAAGAAAAAGAAAACTATTTGTTATTAAATATCTGTATACATGTAGAAGTCTTTTTTGTAAGTTTATAATAATATAAATAACATAAATAATTTATGGTTTATACATGAAATTTGAATATACACTTTGCCCAGTTTTTGTGACTAGCTGGTTACCATGGTGATTTTATGACAAGAAAATTAATTAACACTTGACAAAACTTTATTTTTAATGTTTTCTTGTCATACAAGATGGCATGATTGCAATGGGGCTGAGGAACAGTGTAATTTTCCTATTTTTTTAAACCAAAAGTTAAGACTCAGTGGCTTAATGTTGCTAATTTCAATATTTTTTTTTAAATAATATTAATACTGATGTGCACCGAGTGAGTGATTGGTTCAACTCAACTGACGCTTTTATTTTGAAAACAAACCGAACGTCTTCCGGTTTCGTCGTGTCACTCTCCATCTTGACACCGTAGTGCAACGTTAGCTATGGAGCAACAACACAGTTAGAGCTGTGTTTTTATGTCACATTAGCCACTGACAGAATGAGCTAAAAATGGACACGTTGACGACAGACTCGTCTGCGGCCGAGGAGGAGGATGAATGTTCAGACTCAGAGGTTTTATGTTTGATGAGAGTCGGGAGAAATTCAGACTGGCTCCGCTTGTACGAAAACACTGAGGTGCAGAATGCTAATGCTAACTAGCTTGCTACACTTGCCACATATTAACACCAAAACTTGCTCAAGTTCACGGTAGATTCAGATTTCTCACATTAAATATATTCCTTATTCTTTGTTACATGTTTATTGTTGTTTTATATGTTGTTATATAAATGTTTTAATGAGCTAAAGGCTGCACAGTGGAAAGCTAACTGACTGTTGGACATGTTTGTTTTGGCTGTGCAGATCACTGTAGGACGTGGAGTGGATGTAACCCACCAGCTGTTGTCTCCAACATGTCCTCTGATGATCTCCAGACTGCACTGTATTTTCAAACAAAGGGAAGATGGCCAGTGGACGGTGACAGACAGGAAGGTAGTGTAACAATCTCTATTATAATGTACATTTTTGTGATATTTCTATACAAATAAATAAGTATTCTCTGGTAAGAAACCCATAAAAGACTTAAAACCTGAACACATAAAACAATAAAGAGACTTGATAAAGCATGATAAAGGACCTCGCTCTTGTAAATGTTGTCTTATATGATGTCATAGACAGAAGCTTGAGATATTGCAAACCAGCAACATCAGCATGTGTGGAGAATACTGTTGCTGCACAAGCTTAGATTAAAAGAACACAGCATACACAGGCAAAATTTTCCTCATAAGAATCTGTACGTGTAAACCACAACATTAAGACCACTGACAGAGGAAGTGAATTACATCATCTGCTCGTAATACAATGTTCTGCTGGGAAACCCCTGGGTCCTGCCATTCATATGGATGCCACTTGGCACGCACCACCCACCCAAACACCATTGCAGGCCAAGTACACCCTCTCATGACAATGGCACTTCTCAATGTTAGTGTTCCCCCTAGCAGGACAATGCACCATGCCACACTGTAAAAATTGCTCAGGAAAGGCTCAAGAAACATGACAAAGAGCTCAAGGCGTCAACCTGGCCTCCAAATTCCCCACATCCCAATCAGATTTAGCATCTGTGGGATGAGACGCTACCCCAGATTTCACAGGTTCATACCTAAACAGGTTGGAGGCCCCACTGTGGATCAGTTTTGGCTCTGACCTGTTGAGGCATGGACACAGGATCTCTGTGGGTGTCCTGTGGTGTTTGGCACCAGGGCGTTGGCAACAGATCCTTTGAGTCCCGTTGGTTGCGAGGTGGGGTACTGTCAGGTCCCACGGATGATTGATCAGATTTGGATCTGGGGAATTTAGAAGTCAAGTCAGTGCCTTGTGCTCCCATCATACATTTGTACTCTGATTGAACAGAGATCTGACTGTACCTGTAATCTGAGATCAGAGATCAGATTTGGATCTGAGGAATTTAGAGGCCATCCATCCAGATACATCCATCGCAGTCTTTTTAATACCCAAAAAATGGTGCACAAAAATGGTGCACAAAGTATTCTAGGGCTGTAAATAACAACATTTGCCATCATTGAATAATCGGTAGGTTCTTTTTTTTACTCCTTAAGCTTATAAAATAAGGTTTGTGAGGCGGATCTGGGGAATTTAGATGAGCTCCCTTCATACATTTGTACTTTGATTGAACAGAGATCTGACTGTACCTATAGCCTGAGATCTCGAGAGTTAATTTTGTTGTGTGTTCCTAGTGCACGGGCTGAACTGGGGGGAAAAAAGTTTTATGTGCTCTTCTCCTCTCACTAACCTTCAAAAAGCGTTAAAAGTACATGAATTGTTCTCTCTGCCTGATTTTAAAGCTCTCATAAGTACAAGGATGAATGAATCGGTTGGTTTTTGTCATTGTGCGTAGGTGTTCCAATATTTAGTCACACAGGATCATTGAAATAAAAGCACGGTAAAATGAATAACTGTCTGACAGTATTATTCAAAGCAACTTTATTTTTTTTGTGAAGTTAGAATACATGGATGAGCTGTTGTTTGACTGCATTAGATTTTACAGGTGTACCTAATAAAGTGGTTACTGAGTGTATGTTCTTGATAGCTGCAGCTGTAAAAGACAGTGTTGCTTTTTTACCCTCAGAGTCTCAACGGTGTGTGGGTGAATGGAAACCGCATACCTGCTGAAGAGGCCCATCAGCTGAGGCTGGGAGACTCCATACAGCTCGGGGTCCCTGTCATTGGAACCAAAGTGGAGTTCGACTACATCCTCGTCCAGCGGCCCCTCAAAGACATTAAACTCTACCTGACAAAGGGACACAAAGAGGGTGCTAAAGCTGCCCACGTTCCCAAGAAGTCTAAGAGGAAGTTGACGGTTGAAGAGGTTGAGCCGTCCACCTCGAAGCCCAAGCTGTACCGCTGCTCCTCTGCAGACAAGTCGTTTGCAAAGCCCTGCCCACTGTCACCGGTGAAACGCCAGCAGAGGCTCAGTCACACCCAGCCAGAGGAGACTGGATCCAGCAGACAAGTCCGGGAAGTAGACCAGCCCTCAGATGGCTCTAGTGTTCTGTGTGACATGGACAACTTGCAGATGTAAGCCCCAGTCTGTGTCCCACATTCACAGAGCCAAGCATCAGGTTTTCAAAAGATACATCCATTGCAGTTTTTTAAATACCCAAAAGGATGTTTGCTGGATCACAAAGTATTTTACAGCTGTTAATAACCTTTTTTTTCATCACTGAACCCCTAAGTTTTACTCACTTGTGTTTTTAGGTACAGCCAGAACATCCTGATGCTGAGGGAGCAGGTGGACGACACCCAGAGGCAGGTCGCCTCGCTGGGCGGAGAGCCCCAGCAGGCAGACCCGCTCAGAGAGGAGCACGTCAGGGAGCTGCAGGGTCAGCTGGAGGCACTCAGAGCCAAAATGCACCGGATGGAGACCTTAGAGAAGTCGTTTAGTGAAACCAAGAGGCAGCTGGAGGTGAGAGGTTTGCATTGTGCATTGTGTTTAGTAAAGGGATAGTTCAGGATTTTCTGAAGTAGAGTTGTTGGAGGTCCATATCCATAGTTAGTGTATTACCTACAGTAAATGTCAGTTAGCAGTTTGGAGAAGCAGGCGACCACCTTCTGCTGTATGTAAATCACTGAGTATGAACTTTTTGTGTATGTAGGCGGAGAAAACGCAGCAACAAGAGGAGCTTTTAAAGAAACAGTTGGATGAGGCCTTGCATGAGGTACGTAGCATAAAACTGGAGCTTGAATTTATTGTGACACCACTAATACCAGCAACCATTGTTTTTTAATCTGTCAAACTGTTTTTTTTTTGTTTTTTTTGGTTTTAGCAAAAGAAAGTAATAGATGAACTCACCCTTTCTCGGAAAGGCTTTGAAGAGGTACTCTTGGCCAAAAACAAAGAGCTCGAAGTGACAAAGGTATGACTGTATTTAAGCATGCTTTTCGCATAGTTTGGCATGGCTGTTAACAAAGCTTAATATATTTATTATTGGTTTGTTTTTGCAGGAGGAGAAAGAAAAGGCTCGGGCCCAAAAAGAGGAAGTAGTTACACAAGTGACTGAAGTTCTGGAGAACGAGCTTCAGTGCATCATCTGCTCTGAGCTCTTCATTGAGGTAGGATTAGGAGTCAATTTAGACTGTAATTACAATTTGTGTTTTCTCTTTGAGCTGCTTCAGAAGATTTCACACTTGTACAGTTAAATCAAACTTTTAAATCTGTATCGATATCATCTACAGGCTGTCATCCTGAACTGCGCCCACAGCTTCTGCAGTTACTGCATCAAGCAGTGGCGTAAAAAGAAAGATGAGTGTCCCATCTGCCGACAGAGCATCCTCTCCCAGACCCGCTGCCTGGCCCTGGACAACTGCATTGACAGCATGGTGGAAAACCTGAGCCTGGACATGAAGTCGAGGCGGCAGACCCTCATCACTGAGAGGAAAGGTGAGAGGTGCGTCACCATCAACAATATCATTAGTATCCATACAGTTAGAGAAGTGTAATTTTTGCTGTTTTAGCGAAACATGAACGAGACATTTAACTGAAGGACAAAAAACAAAGTCAACTGGGCCAAGACGTTAAGTAATAGATAATAAGACCCAGTTTTTAAATAATGATTAATGCATAACACACTGAGCTCAAAGTAAGCTTTCTTTGTTTCAGAAAAGCAACCTTGTGATCGTGATGTCATCCACTCAGGTCAGTGGACAGCCTTGAAATATGTTGGGGGTGTGTTAAAGTGAGAACAGGAATCTGTTATGATGGTGTATTTTAAAGCACAGGTCATGGGACTCATCCATGCAGTGCAGACTGGAAATAATCTTACTGCAGTGTCACCTCTTACATGTGTTTCTGAGGTTCTTTCAGGTCATATGTTGGGTTAATCGGTATTGCCTCTTCATATCATTATGTTGCACAGAGTTCTCCTTTAAAAAAACTACCTTGGTTTACATTTCTTGTGTCTGATAATAAAGTGAAATCCAATCAAGTAAGGAAGTTATAACAAGTAAAATGGAACCAAATCTCTCCCAGTTGGAGGTCTAAAATGTGCAAAATGGGATTTTCTGTTGCTAGAATTTTTTCAATCAAAACTATAACAAAAGACAGAGCAATGCTGTCATTGCAGTAATTTCCTACCTTGTAGGATTTCTTTAAAATTCATTGTTGAGGAGGTTTTTACAGGTAGCTGATTTATCCTTAACAGCCTCCTCCTCTCTGAAACAGATAGACCCAGTGACTTAAACCGGTAAAAACACTGAATAAGTTAGTTTCACATTAAAAATCAGTGTTTCTCCAATGCTGCATTGCTCCTCACAGACGGGCTGCGAGCCCAGTTCTTGCTAATGTGTGCTCTGCTTGTTTCTCTGATAACTTAACATCCAGATGCTCAAGAGGTTTTTACCAGAAGCCGAATCATCTGTAGAGGTCTCTTACTCTCCAAAACAAACAGACCTGATTATTTAAACCGGTAAAAACACTGAACAAAGCAGTTTCACATTAAAAATCAGCATTTCTTCAATGCTGTTTGGCACGCCACGGGCTAGGACCAAGCTAACATGTGCTCACCTTTTTTCTCTGATAACTTAAGATTCAGATGCTGTTGAGGTTTTTACCAGGAGCTGAATTATCCGTAGAGGTCTTTTCCTCTCCAAAACAAACAGACCCGATGATTCAAACTGGTAAAAACACTGAATAAAGTAGTTTCACATTAAAAATCAGTGTTTCTTCAATACTGTTCGGCACGGCCAAGGGCTGGGGCCGAGCTGCAGCTAACGTTTGCTTAGCTTGTTTCTCTGATTAACTTAAGATCCAGATATCTGATAACTTAAAATCCTTCATCCATCAAACATATAGTTGAAAAGGATCAAAATCTAAAAGGTGTGTCATAACAATGTGTCTGAAAACTGAATTAAAAAGTCAATTAATGACAGTCCCTGGCAGACAACAATAAGCCTGACAGATGCACAAGGAGTATGATGCCAATGACAGGCGATGCCAATCAAATGACACAGACTCCTTGACACAGTGTCCTTGATTAAATTAACAGATTACTCTGGGTTAGAACATTGTTGGAAATGTTTGGGATAATGTAAGCACACAACTCAACAATATATAAAATTGGTGTTGTCAGGAAATGTGGCTAAATCAGTTTCAATTTCTTTTGCTTTTCTAGTTAATGAAATACTGTTATCACCCCACCTCACCCTCACACCTGCAGCAGTTACATGGACATTATGTTTCTAAGGGTTTGTGATGAATTACATGTTTATCTCCCTCAAATATCCGTTACAGAACCACACATCAATCTACAGTACGTGACAGTGACATAGTGCTCACACTCATGCACAAGCTGCCACATGGATGACCCATACAACATTAATATCTGCCTGGCAGCGCACTTACTAGCGACGGTGTGCAGTGCCACATTCATCAGATGAAGTGACTGGAGAGCCTTGGCATGTCTGGGCGAGCTCGGTGACTAATGTACCTCTCGCTCTTAGCAGTAACGGCGGAGGTGTCCTTGAGTAAAGTGCTCGACCCTCAGCTGCTGCATGAAAGAAATGTGGTTCTTCAAGGTGTTTAGAGAGTATTTACACTCACTGCCTCTGCCTGTCTCGGCTTAATAGATGATTTTAAAACGCACTCGTTGGTGGAGTGTGGGAAGAGAGGGTAGGAGCTGGTGGTGCAGAGTGTGGAGCACAGGGAAGATTTCAAACACAAGGTGGCAGCACCATGAGGCTCATTCATGTCTTGTCTTTCATTTGTGTGATTTTATTTTAGAAATGGTGAAACTACAGGTTAAAATAAAACATAATTCAACTTAAAAAGCTAAGAGTCAGTATGCAGCATTGGAAAATCAATAAACAAAGATGGAGAAATAACACGCATGTGCAAATATGACAAAGTTACTCATCAGAAGACACAGAATGGTTGAACTAAGGAATTAGGTATGTAAACTTTATTTCGATAAATCCTTTCGCAACCATGATTACAACAGGTTTGACAAATATGCATAAAAGAACAATAGCATAAAATGATTACAGGGTCAAACATATAGAATTAAAACTCAATACAAACAATATAAAACAACCAAGGTTTGTAGATTCAGATGGTATGAAAAGCATGTTCGTCTTGAGCCTTGACCCTGGAGCTTTAAACGGAATCTGGTTGCCAGACTTGACATGTCTGGAAACCAAATGTTTGTCACCTACTCTGAAATTCTTTAGAAAGGGAAAACACATTTTGTTTTCTCAATGCTGCAATATGATTTCTAATCAAAAACAGCAAGCACCGTGGTGTGACTGATCTCGGCCTTGATGCACACGTTGGTCGTTCCTGACTCTCAAAACCTAGCAGGTAATTTTGATTTTAAAGGTCCAGTGTGTTGGATTTAGTGGCATCTAGTGGTGAGATTGCAGATTGCAACCAACTGAAACTTCTGTGTGTTAAGCATGTAGGAGAGCTATGGTGGCCGACATGAAAACACAAATAGTCCTATCTAGAGCTAGTGTCAGGTTTGTCCATTTTGGGCTACTGTAGAAACAAGATGGCAGACTCTATGGGAAAGGACCCGCTCTGTATGTAGATATAAATGGCTCATTCTAAAGTAGCTAAACACAGCGATTCTTAGTTTGATGGGATTATAACCTAATAAAAACATAATTAGGATTATTATATACCATTTCTGCCAATAGATGGCCCTAAATTTTCTACGCTGCATCTTGGCACTGCACTACACTGCCTACCTGTGTCTTTTAGTATTGATTTTAAGGTTCTCTTACTTGTTTATAAGCTTTAACTGACCTCGCCCATCATTTAATGTTCTAGCCAGATCACTCAGGTTCTCCACTGCTTTACTTTTAAATGTTCCTCATGTGTCCCATAAAAGTACTGGTGAGAGCGCTTTCTGTTTTTACGCCCCTAAATTGTGAAATTCGCTACCTCTGGATTTTCTTAATCTGGCTTTTTATGTGGAGTAACATTACAGCCTTGATTTTTAAGCATTTTTAACCATTGGTTTTTTTACCTCTCCTGATCATTTTTATTCTATTTTATTTATTTATTTACTTTTAATATTTAGTTTTAATCATCTGTTTTATTAGTTTGTTCTCTTTTGGTTGGTTAACTTTTTTAATATTTGATTGTCTGTGTCATTCCAATTTTCCATGTGAAAAGGTGCTATATACATAAAGTTAAGTTGAGTTTGTCACAATACACAAATCACAATGACTTTGAGGCTCAGAGATATCACGTGTTTTCCCCCTCTAGATTAAAAAAGTGTGATAGAGGTGATATTCTGTGTTTTTCCTATTGTTATCAAATCCCATAATACAACCAAAACCAACTAACTGATTAGCCAACAAAGCTAACAAAGCCTAGTTTATTTTGTGTCGATTCCATTGATTCAATGCTGCTGTAAATCACTAGAGCACCATATGTGTATTCATCCACAGCTGAAAATAGTCCCCAACAAACACACAGGTTACGCCTGTGTGAGTAACTTTTGCTGAAAAGTACAGTGTGCAGCCTCTTTAAAAATTGAAACTCCATTTTTGTGACCCAGTTTTTAAAAATGTATGTCTTCAGTGGGATCAAATGGGTTTTGGGCTGAGAACCACACAGTGTTGGGAAGTCAAAAAAAAAAATATTAACAGACAGACTGATGTATTGTTGGTTTTCATCCCTTTGGATTTTGCTGATGATAACAAAATGTAGAATAATGTTTTGTTTTTTAAGTCATGTAAAGCAGTGGCTCTCAACCAGGGCCTTGTGGACCCACGGACATCCTTGAGGGAGTTACAGGAGGTCCCCTGAAACATGGGGAATAGTTTATTTTCACTTTTTAATTGTCACTACAGAAGTGAGCCAGTGTGAGTAAGAGCTGTAAGAGTGACTGTTCTGACCATAGGTTTCACTTCCTCCATGGAAAACTAAAGAATTTTGGTCTGAATCATATCTCACAACCAAAATATTTTTAGATGAAAGTCCCTGGAGTCAGATCACATCAAATGGGTGCCCGTGACCTAATCTCTATCCATGTCAGGGCCCTTGACATAAGAAAGGTTGAGAACCACTGATGTAAAAGAGTTGAAAGTGGCTCAGAGGGAAGATGGTACTCTTTCAAACATCTGTAATCAGAAACTCTCACAGTTTTTCTTCTTCTGTGTTTTCCAGCAGCTGACTCTGCTCAGGTGATGGTGATCCACGATGACGACAGCAGCAGGAGCAGCAGAAGCAGCAGCGACAGCGACGGCAGCATGGTGTCCATATACAGCACCCTGAGCTCTGTGGTCTCCGTGGACACGGACAGCAGCATCCACTTAGACTCCAGTCCGCCCTACAGTGGCTACTCTGATGAAAGTCCTGATGAGTTAGAGGATTATTAGCGCTTCTCTCCCACAGGCTGTGATGTACATTGGACTTTTTTTGGTGTTGATGTTTGCATTTTCTTCGGATTGTTCCAGGATGGTATGCAAAGTTTGGTCTCATCGTGAGTCCGGTAACCAGATTCAGCGAGGGTTTATGTTTTACTTTTTTGTAAAATGATTAGTTGACTTTCTTTATTTTCAACAAAAGGAATAAAGTTTCTTCCTATGCACTCTCACAGTCACATGTTGACTTTGTCCAAGCAAGTTCCAGAGTAAGAATAGTTGATAATAAGTGTGAATGCTAAGCTAAGGGGTGTTAGCATTTAGCTCCTAGCATTGCTGTACCTGAGTACGGCCTCACGGAGCTGCTAGTAAATGGTAAATGGACGGCACTTATATAGTGGTTTTCTAGTCTTCTGACCACTCAGACGACTATTTCTGCACTATTTTACTCTACGTCACATTGAACAATTCACACGTGATCACACCCTGGTGACCGAGGCTACCATACATGGTGCCACCTGCTACTCAGCAACCATTCCCACACACACACACACTGCCGGGACAGCCACTGGGAGTAATTTAGGGTTCAGTATCTTGCCCAACAAGCAAACTGGAGGAGCTGGGGATCGAATTGCTGATCTTCTGATTAGCAGATGACCGGCTCTACCTCTGAGCCACAGCTGCCCATTATAGCTATAGGCCAGGGATACTCATTTTGCTTTGCCCGGGGGCCACTGTTGCAGAATTACAGGAAGCCAAGAGCAATATTAATCAGTAAATTAATTTCCTGTTTTCAACCTTTCAACAATTGCAGTCCTTGCTCGTCTTTGCCAAGAGGCAAATCCAGTCGCATAAGTCAGGTGTAGGCAGGGGTGTTCCCTGGATTTGGGAACATTTGGGGGTTTGGCCTGAACTTGGAGGTCTTGGGGATCCTTCCTTGACACATAAGCTCTATTTTTATGCTGTTTTATGCATTCTGCCACCTTATTTACACTCAGAGTACAAAAAAATCCTATTGTAAATCAGCAAATTAGATATGGCCACAAGTTGAGTATCACTGCTGTAGACCACTGGTTCCCAACTGGTCCAGATTTCTCCTTAGTCTTTAGTTCAAGGTCCACACAGTTAAATACATTCAGTGACATACTTAGATGTGGACATGTCCTCAAGCTTGTTTGCTGTCTCTGTCAAATACCTGTCCATAAGTAACTCACTCTAAGACAGGAAAGGCCACTTCAAAATAAATGATGTGTCACTTTAAAATAAAGTGTGTTTTTTACAAAGTTGACACATTTGCAAGTCACTCATGGTCTATTCACAATGGACTTGCGACCCACTTTTGGACCACAACCCAGCGGTTGGGAACCACTGCTGTAGACTCTTAGATGCTCATACATTATCACAGAGCATTTTCTTGGCTTTCCTTCAGCCATTTGTTTCATTTTATTTTCAGTAGAAATAAATGTATACACTTAAAACTTGCTCAAGACAGGTCATCCATCACTGCGTACACCAGGTTAATAGTTTTATTATATTAAATAGCTATTATTAGTGTTGTTCATTGTGTGCCTGCCTAACTAAAATATGCCAGAATATTGGCGTGGTGCTCTTATCCATTATTTGTTTGGACTTCTGTTAACCTACAAGTCTAAGTCTCATGTTTAAACATCCCCCTCCTAATGGGGGCGGTGGTGTGCCTTCCTCAAGCTCAGGTCCCTCTACCAGAGGCCTGGGAGTTTGAGGGATCTGTGCATGATGATTTCTTTTTTTTAAATAGACATCTCTGTGAGACAAAAGAACCATAATGTGAAGACGCTATAATTCCTGAAACATGGCCAAACACTTTATATTGTTGTTAGTTTATGTTTTATTAAGTGATGCGCTGTTTTCTGTTCATCCACACGCCCATTTGGGAGTTGCCTCTCCTGGAGCACGAGCTCTGCTGAAAGGCTCCTGGGCCGAGCATTAATCACTCCCACTGGCAACACTCCAGAGTTTACCTCATATCTCACTGGTCCTGACTCACATAAACACATAACCGAATGTTTTCACCTCACAACATAATGGGAGAAACTTTACCTAAAGTCCACTTGTAAGCAAACATTTTAAGCTTGTTTAGCTTTTATTTTTTATGTAAGTGTCATTACAAATTTAGTAAATGGTATCACTTTTAAAAAAGGGTGTCATTTATGCAATGCTATATAAGTTATAAAATAAAATCTATGAGATCATCAGTAACTTCAACACTATCACACATTTAGATCTGCATGTTCACAGTTCTACCAGAGTGGGCGTCACTTTTAAAAATAGATGTTTCATCTTGGAAGGAAACTTTGTTTTGCAAAGTCCTCCCATCTTTTGGTAACTACAAGCATGCTGCGTTGCCTAGCAACTAATGCAACAGCTCCTTGGGCGCTGAAAGCAAATGGAAGTGTGATGGCACCGGCCTCAACGGTGAGGTGAAGCACTCAGTCTGCATACTGTGGAGGGAGGAGAGCGTCGGTGCAGCCTTTGTCTGTAAATGTTGTGTTTGTGCTCCTGCAGCAGAGGACAGCCGAGTCTGACTGTGCCGTAAATAATCAGCGGATGTGTTCAATACTCCAATATCCATATGAAACACCCTGCACTCACTGAGACGTATAAGCCAATATCCTTCTGTCAGGTTATTTAATGGCTCTCTGTTAAAGAGTGCTCTGAATTCACAGTGTCATATTTAAACATTCAATGCTTTTTATTTTGTAATCAGGTCATAGGAGAATTATGAAACAGTAAAAGTCTGAAACAGAGAGTTTAAAGGTTATTTATGTTTATAAGCAGCTGTTTCTTTTTAATCAAAGATGTTACAGTGTCACAGTAGGAGAAGCCCAGCTGTAGAAACTAAAATGAATGATGGATGAATGCTATTTATCTGCTTCAGTTTCAGGGTCCTGAGGCCTCCTGCACAAAACACCTTAACTTAAGATTTTCCTAAAGTCCTAGTTATGGTTTCCTCAAAATAAAATCAGTTGCACAAAACACCCTTAAGTCTTCTCCTTAAGGTGTCCTTAAAATGTTCACTTAGGTATTTAAGGGTTCTCCTGGTCTTGGGTTTATACTTAAGGAGTCCCTAGAACGTTGCAAAAAAGACCTTAACTTGTAGTGAAGATGACTATTTTTTCTTTATTTTGACACTTCTTTTCCTCACTTACCTCACTTCCTTTCCTTTAACCCTTTGTTAACTCCTTAACCTGATTGAGTTCACCTGTACCCTGAACACACCATCTCCCTTACTCTTCATCGTCAAATGGGGCGGCAGTGGTAAGCAGTTTTTCTCTTTAGTTTATCCTGTTTATGATTAGTTTAACTCAGCATAATTTACCCTTATTAAGATGGAGATTTGTTTAATTTGACTAAAGTTGTAATTTTGTATTTGTTTCTTTCAGATTCAAGTTCTTCAGTTTGAGATAAGTCTTTGTGTGCTAAAGAAAAGTTTCAGTGGTTGTGCATTCTGACCAGTGCCCATGATGGTAGACCTCCACCCCTCGTCCCTCCTCCTTCTTAACACAACCAATGCAAGGTAAAAAAAAAAAAAGAAGAAGAAAAAAACTTAAGGTACTTCTGATTCTCTCTATCTTAACTGCAACATGACCGAGTTTATGGTGATAAAATAAAAAAACTACCACACCTTGAGGAGAGTGGCCTGAGGAACATGACAAAAAGCTCAACGTGTCGACCTGGCCTCCGAATCTCTCACACACCAATCTGATTGAACATCTTGGGACGTGCCGGTGTCCCACCTCACACCTGACAGGTGTCACATGATCCGAAGCCAACACCCAGGTGCCAGACACCACGGGACACCATCCAGAGGTCATGTTCCTTGACATGTCAGAGATGAGTCCGATCCAGGGAGGCCCCACCGTGGACACCTCCAAGGTACCAGCACGTGTAGCTACTGAAGTCACAGTGTTCATGTCTTTGTTGTTTTTATGTTGTTGTTTTTTTGTTGTTGCTGTTTTTGTGAGAATGCAGAGATTATATTCTGTAATTATAAAACAGGCACATGATTGGTGTTTTTTTTAGGCTGATTCCACAATTTTTGACATGTAACCAAGATAAATAACTAACACACTAAGCAAAATGAATAAAGAAAGCCCAAATAAAGGGAAAACGAAACTAAAACACTCATTCACAAACATTCAACAAAGACACAAATATATCAGAAATAATAAAAAGTGACTAAATACAAACATTTATAAACTATCCAAACCTCTGCACCCTCAAGTCCTTATAATTCAATCCATGTCTACTTCTAAGTAAACTAAAGTAACTAAATATTATTCACAGGTCCTGCCCCCAAAAACTGAGGGCAGAGGTTCATTTAACAGTCACACTTAAATTCCTAAATAACTCATAATTCATCAACAAATCGTCAAAATCATCACGTTAACAATTTGCTTGGAAAGCACGCTGCTGATAGATGAGCTAATACAAAATAAAATTAACAGATAATTAGGAAAAAAATGCTCCCCCTATTTGGTTTTTGACTCTTACTAATACTAATATCTATTAATCCAATAGCAATTTATTAGCTGTCAGAGTGTCTGCTGTTACTATGCTTTTATTTAGCTGAAGTGCATTATGGCTCTAATCTTATGTTTGTCCCCCATTTTCTATGTAGCTCTCCCATTTGACCCACAATGTATGTCCACCTAATTTTAGGATAAATGAAGTGTTCACCAACTGCAATCATTTTGTGGTCCAAATTTCTGGACAGGGTACCATTGCAGGGCTTCGGACTCATGACCTCAGTATTTATATAATTCTGGATGTGGCCCTGTCTGTAATAAGTACAAAATTACATTCATCTTCTCCATGAAAATTTCTATTCTTTTATCTTTTTACATACAAATATCAGCTACTTTTTTAAAGAAAAAAAAAATTCAGGACATATTTCATTTTTTTTCCACTCAGTGTTAAATAATGTTTGACAGCTGAATCATGCCGCCTCATGCCAAGACAATGAGTTGCCGAGCTTATCAGTGAACTTGCACACTTCTCGTTTGGTGCAGATTCAGGGACACCCTAACACCGTGATTCATCCCCACACTGACTCTACCCAGAGAGCGCTGCATGGAACAGCAGCTCACAGAGGGAGTGTGCCTCCTGTGCTGTGGATGGCTGATGTCACGCCAGTCCATTAAAACCGGAGTACGAGGGAAGCGTGTGTCTGTCAGGCCCTATTACATGACGGCG